CAGAATGATTCCGAGTAAGATGAAAAACTGCAGACACAATTTTGGTGTAGTATTCACCATTCATACCCAAACGTAAAATTTATTGACTTTTCGAGAATATATTTTCAACACTATCCTTTGATTAAAAACAAAATTAAGATACTTATAATGACATAGGTTGGCGTTAAAAATTTTTTTTTAAATTAAAAACTTAACCACGAAGGTTTAGTGAATAGTATGCAATTTTACTCATGCTATTAAAACAGTTATCAAGAGTAGTTCATATTGAAAGTCTACTAGCAAATCTTATTATAGTGCTTATTACTTTCCATACTAATTTCGGCTTTTTAATTCTATGGGGGTCGCGGGTCACTTACTTTTTATAAAAGGGGGTCGCCACTCGAAAAAGGTTGGGAACCACTGCTCTAGAAGATGTGTGCCTGACCACTCAATGCACACTGCATAGACTCTGTTCAAGTGTTGCTTTCAGACATTTTTTCTGGGGAGAAGGGGATACTTGAAACTTGGGGGGGGGGGAGGTCTGATACTAATATACATTTTCTAGATAAACTATATATATTATATATTTTTATTTCGAAGAGATGTTTCAGTTCCTCACTCAGTGTTCAACTATTATCGTGTTATTATTTAAAAAGTTATTGTACTAATTTTATTAGCATTTTTAAAAACATTGCAAGTTCATGCAACCAGTCTAGTTTCGAACCTCGGACAGTCGAGTGCTATGAAGCTTACGGTCAGCTAAACACTAATCATCTTGAAGTTATGGTGATTTTTCTGATAAACTTAACGTACAGGAATTCCAAATCTTTATACCAGGAGAGTTTTAGTGGTGGCAACTTGGATATATAACAGCCATTACAAAATGGTTGGATAAGTGCGGTTAATGAATTGGGTAGATAATGGTCATTGTCGTTGGGCTATATAACAGTCATGAAAGCATGCTGAGTGGACTGGTCATGTACAAGGGACCCGGGAAATTTTATAAGGGGGCCCAGACCCATGATTAAATTATCCATTGTGCATTTTTCCCCATCAAACTCCGATTATCCTCCCCAAGTTGATGGGAATTCACGCGAAAAAGTAATAAAAAAATAAAAACCAAATCGCAAATAAAAAAACTATTACAGCATCGTTCACGGGGAACCATCGGGATTTTCCCAGGTAGACCGGCGGGTCAGTCCACCCATGGTTTTATAACAATCATGACAACATGGCTCTATAACGGTCATAACCACCCTTTAATCCCCTCACCAAATTGACTTCTGTATTAGAAATCTCGTCAGTCCCCACTAGACAACCCAGACCACGTGAAAACTGACGTCTGGCTTTCAAACCGACCCCACCTCTTCCCCACCCCGCCTAATGCCAGTATCATTAGCACCGGACGTACCACACAGACAAGACATAAACCATTTGCCACAAACGTGGCCAGATTGGCTACTTGTAATACCGCTCCGGTGGCTATAATTGCACTTATTGGATATATCCGATGCTATTTTTATCTTCCAATCGAACGGCAGATGGTAATTATTACCCATGAATCCATCTGGCTATTTAATATCTGATTTTGATCTAGATCTCTATCTTTATTATATTGGGCCTCCTTATGAGTGAGGCAATTTTTAAGCAGAATCTTTACTGTGTGCGTGTGAGTGTGTGCTTGCGTGAGTGTGTTCGTGAGTGTGAGTGTGAGAGTGAGTGTGTGTGTGCGTGAGTGTGTGTGTGTATGTGTGTGTGTGTCTGTGTGTGTGTGTCTGTGTGTGTATGTGTTTCACTATTTAGTACAAACTATTAAGTGAATGATAAAGTATTTATATTTCATTATATCGAAGGATACCCAACGGGTGGATTGAAAATAAAAACCTGATAAACTGATTCTCGTATCAATTCAAACTATATTTTCTATTTTCAGCTTGAATTGTTATTGACAAGAAGTTTAAGTTTAAACAATTTTACGTTTAAAGAATTTTTTCTTTGGAAATTTTGAAGTAAAATGAATTTTATGTTTTTTTTTTTTTTTTTTTTTTTTTTTTTACACTAGCGGATAGATTATCAGGGTGCAGAACAAACTCCTACACCGGAAGAAATATCCCACCTAGTGTTGTGAGCTGCGATGGTCATCGATCTATTATGAGCATCGAGGAGATTGGCGAGTAGCGTGTAATGAGTTCAAACCAGCCTTGATATAACGAAGGGGATAGGGGCTTGATACAACGAAGGGGATAGGGGCTTGATACAACGGAGGGGCTGGGGGCTTGCTAAACGAGATGTGAAATGGGGCTTAGCTCAGCTGTGAGGAATCATGTAATGCCATCTTATGGGGTCGAGCACATGCTTTAAAACACAGGACATTTTACCCACCTCTACCGACCCCCACCCCCCACCCCCCAGAACGTAATGGAGTTTGTATAGAAAATATATACTTTTAAGTGTCCGCCCTCATACCCCCGGAAATTCTAGTCCCCCCCCCCCCGAAAATTTCAAGTACTTCCCCCCCCCCCAGGAGAAAAAAAGTCTGAAAGAAACACTGCATATAAAACAGCCCCTCCCTCCCACTCCCCCTATATTAAAAAGAACAACACCTACTAACAATTGTGATTTTTAAAAACTAAATCATAATCGTATTAATGGAAAATCGTTTTTTACAACTTGAACTGAAAAAAAAAAAAAATTTAAACTTTGAGATCAAGCAAGGAACGTAAGCCAGTTGAGCCGTATTCACCCCACCTTTCACACGGTGATGTTGGATTTCACTGCACTATACCACACCTTACCCCCATACAACAAAACCAAACCTATTACATTCACGACCTTATGTGATTCAATGTTCCCTCTGTACTTCGCGGTTCGTAGTCTATCGCGGATTGGTTGTTGCGCTGGTTTTACAAATGTGGACATTTGATAGAAAATATCCTCTAAATATATTCTTAAATCAGAATCCGACCCCCCACCCACCGGAAATCTTAAATTCGCCCTTCGGAAGTATAAAGTGTTTAGCCATCCCCTGGGGTAAAATGTCTGAATGAAATCCTTTGCTATATTGGCAGAATCTAATAAATGAGGTCTGTAAAATGACAGCGATTTTCTCCACGAACCCACTCGGACCAAATAAAACGAGCAACAAATATTTTAGTTACCTGTCTTAGTCGAGTAGCTGTAGTTGTCGTTCAGTGTTTCGCTGCCCTCGTCGCTTAAATACCACAATAGCAATGTCTGTTTGAAAACCCGCACGTCTAACAATAGCATGTAAATCACCCCGTTTGTACAGGGACATAAGTCATAGCTCGACATTTTATGCGATTTTTTGTATTGACTGTCAAATAAATTATACCATACACAACAAAGCGCAGTCAGTATCTACATTTTGCGATTTACGGTTTAAAACATGAAAAATGCTCTGGTTTTTTTACTCGTTACTGTGGAGCTGATCACGTGCTACAAAGGTCTAGTAGGATGGGGCAAAGGTCTAGTAGGATGGGGCAAAGGTCTAGTAGGATGGGGCAAAGGTCTAGTAGGATGGGGCAAAGGTCTAGTAGGATGGGGCAAAGGTCTAGTAGGATGGGGCAAAGGTCTAGTAGGATGGGGCAAAGGTCTAGTAGGATGGGGCAAAGGTCTAGTAGGATGGTGCAAAGGTCTAGTAGGATGGGGCAAAGGTCTAGTAGGATGGGGCAAAGGTCTAGTAGGATGGGGCAAAGGTCTAGTAGGATGGGGCAAAGGTCTAGTAGGATGGGGCAAAGGTCTAGTAGGATGGGGCAAAGGTCTAGTAGGATGGGGCAAAGGTTTAGTAGGATGGGGCAAAGGTCTAGTAGGATGGGGCAAAGGTCTAGTAGGATGGGGCAAAGGTCTAGTAGGATGGGGCAAAGGTCTAGTAGGATGGGGCAAAGGTCTAGTAGGATGGGGCAAAGGTCTAGTAGGATGGGGCAAAGGTCTAGTAGGATGGGGCAAAGGTCTAGTAGGATGGGGCAAATGTCTAGTAGGATGGGGCAAATGTTTTTGTACACTTTATGTACGCCAGTCGTAAACTGTCGATTTTGTTTAATACAAGTTATATGCGCACGAAATACACCGCCTTTATATTTACACACAAGTTACCACATACGCACGTAATACACCGCCTTTATATTTACACACAAGTTATCACATGCGCACGTAATACACCACCTTATATTTGTACACAACTTGTACGCACGTAATATATTGCCTTATATTTACATGGTTCACCTTTCGCCCTAAGATTAGTCTAGACACCTGCTGGCTTCTCATTCATGAAGCGTTGAGCTGTTCTCTGGTCGTATTGTTCATTGTTGTCTATTGATGGTTGTTGTAGGAAGGGGGGGGGGGGGGGGGCTTTAAAAAATATCTAGTAGAAAGGAGGAAGGGGGGGGGTGAGTTAGAATTTTATGAAAACATGCTAGGCCTAAGCTCGAAAAAAGTTTGTGTAGTGTACGTATGTGTGGCGTATGTGTATATTTTTAAAAAAAGGAAGGGGGGGGGGGCAAAGTTAGGGTTAAGTGGCTTTTTCTGTGCCACCATTATTTGTTGTGTAACAAAAGCAAGACACCGTTTCTACAAACAAACAGACGTACTTTCTCCATAGCGTTTATTAATATAGCCTGTACACGACACGGAAAATGAATACAAGAACAACTTCAATGTAAAGTCAACAGATAACACCATAAGCCCACAGCACAATACACAGCTGTAAAACTAACGAAGTCTACATTCTTCTACATACAACTTGTAAAGATCAATTTTCTAATCAATACCCCCCCCCCCCCCCCCCCGCAAATTACAGGTAAACCATAGCACACCTCACTTATGCATACACAACTGGACAGATTTAATTATGATAGGAAATCAATTTTCATTATCTTCTATCAGCATCGCGTTTTTAAAATTAAATTTAATATAAGAGAAACCAGCGTTTTATTTAATTAATGTAGAAATACGTTTAAAATTACTGTATATCTAGATAAAAAAAAATGAAAAGAACAAAATACCCCTTATTTTCTTTCAATGTGTAAGTGTATACACCGAAATGTAATAATCCACCCGAAAACGCTCCTAAAAGGACACAGAGCCACAGAAAAAAGAAACCTCTGTACGGTAGCACGCGAACTTGTCACAACAGTCTGTCCTGTTCATGAACTGTCGTCAGCGCATGCTCAACGGTTGGGCGGATTCGATTATTTCTCGGGCAAAGTGACAGTGATCGCGGATCAAAGATGGCAACACACGAGTTTTCAAAAGCTAACCACTTGATGGAGTAATCGATTTTTCCAGAAAAAAAAGCATTGCATCGACCATTTTCAATAAACAACAGTAATTGCTGGCGCTTATAAAAAGTAATAAAATAGATAAATAACACGACAAAGGGTCTTTTGTAAAGTATGGTGGGGGAGAGGGGGTTGTGACAAAACGGGGTGGCGAACACCGGCGCTATATTCTAACCCTCAAGTCTCGGGTTCGGTTCTAAGTTCATGTGTAGTCGTCCAGAACCAGTGACTGAATTTTGGAATTTGTAGTCGGTAAAGTATTGTAGTGGCCATGCAGGTAATTCAAATGCCATGAAAATAAAAACAGAGTAACTCTACTTCACCCCGTCATTATTTTTATCTTTTGACATGTGAGAAGCACCAGCACTATACTATAACCCTTTACTGACCAAATCCACAACCTCCACCAATCTTAGCACGTTAACCAACCTCACCGCTACGCCCAACCCAACTACCAGCACTACAATTCATATCGTCTATATCACAACCCAACACTATAAAAGCCATCCTCTTAACCACCACTATACCCCAATACACAACCCCTACCCCAATACAACCCCTACCCCAACACAACCCCACCCCAATACACAACCCAAACCCAACACAACTCCTACCCTAATACACAATCCCCAACCCAAAACCCCTACCCCAACACAACCCCTACCCCAACACACAATCCCCAACCCAACACAACCCCACCCCAATACACAATCCCCAACCCAACACAACCCTACCCCAATACACAACCCAACACAACCCCACCCCAATAATACACAACCCAAACCCAACACAACTCCTACCCCAATACACAATCCCCAACCCAACACAACCCCACCCCAATGCACAATCCCCAACCCAACACAAACCCTACCCCAACACAACCCCACCCCAATACACAACCCCTACCCCAATATAACCCCTACCCCAACACAACCCCACCCCAATGCACAATCCCCAACCCAACACAAACCCTACCCCAAAACACAATCCCCGACCCTAGTCGCTCTCCAATAGTTCTGTATGGAGACTTGGCCGTCAAGATGGCTGCCTCCACAAGATGGCTGCCTCCACAAGATGGCTGCCTCCACAAGATGGCTGCCTCCACAAGATGGCTGCCTCCACAAGATGGCTGCCTTCACAAGATGGCTGCCTCCACAAGATGGCTGCCTCAACAAGATGGCTGCCTCCACAAGATGGCTGCCTCCACAAGATGGCTGCCTCCACAAGATGGCTGCCTCCACAAGATGGCTGCCTCCACAAGATGGCTGCCTCCACAAGATGGCTGCCTCCACAAGATGGCTGCCTCCACAAGATGGCTGCCTCCACAAGATGGCTGCCTCCATAAGATGGCTGCCCCTCCACAAGATGGCTGCCCCTCCACACTATAGGATAACAACAGTGAGCACAATTGTAAACACGAATCTGGTTGATTAAATAAACTAATTGTGCGTGCTAAACATTTTTTGAAACTATCTTTTAAACCATAATTTCTAAACAAACAAAATGACATTGGACAAATGGACTTGTGTTTACATTTTACTCTAGAGTTATTTGTTGTCATCGTTTAAAACAACCTTCTCTCACCAATCCTCCCCTGCCCCCTCGTACAGTCCCGCAATATGCCACAAGCCACCAAAAAAAAGGAAACGGTAGTCACCTAATTGCTATTTCCGGCGGCACCAAACAAAGGGTGTTGTATGGGTTGCTGTTTTTTTTAACAATAAATCTGGGTTGAAAAAAAACACGTTTTCACAACAAATCACATGTTGGAGAACACGTTTTCACATCAAATCACATGTTGGAGAACACATTTTCACAACAAATCACATGTTGGAGAACACATTTTCACATCAAATCACATGTTGGAGAACACATTTTCACAACAAATCACATGTTGGAGAACACATTTTCACAACAAATCACATGTTGGAGAACACATTTTCACAACAAATCACATGTTGGAGAACACATTTTCACATCAAATCACATGTTGGAGAACACATTTTCACAACAAATCACATGTTGGAGAACACATTTTCACAACAAATTACATGTTGGAGAACACATTTTCACAACAAATCACATGTTGGAGAACACATTTTCACAACAAATCACATGTTGGAGAACACATTTTCACATCAAATCACATGTTGGAGAACACATTTTCACATCAAATCACATGTTGGAGAACACATTTTCACAACAAATCACATGTTGGAGAACACATTTTCACAACAAATCACATGTTGGAGAACACATTTTCACAACAAATCACATGTTGGAGAACACATTTTCACAACACATCACATGTTGGAGAACACATTTTCACAACAAATTACATGTTGGAGAACACATTTTCACAACAAATTACATGTTGGAGAACACATTTTCACAACAAATCACATGTTGGAGAACACATTTTCACAACAAATTACATGTTGGAGAACACATTTTCACAACAAATCACATGTTGGAGAACACATTTTCACAACAAAATACATGTTGGAGAACACATTTTCACATCAAATCACATGTTGGAGAACACATTTTCACAACAAATTACATGTTGGAGAACACATTTTCACAACAAAATACATGTTGGAGAACACATTTTCACAACAAATCACATGTTGGAGAACACATTTTCACAACAAATCACATGTTGGAGAACACATTTTCACAACAAATCACATGTTGGAGAACACATTTTCACATCAAATCACATGTTGGAGAACACATTTTCACAACAAATCATATGTTGGAGAACACATTTTCACAACAAATTACATGTTGGAGAACACATTTTCACAACAAATCACATGTTGGAGAACACATTTTCACATGAAATCACATGTTGGAGAACACGTTTTCACATTAAACCAAATATTTGAGAGAACATTTTTACCACATGTTTAATAGAACAATTAATGAAAACAGAATCAGCTGATGTTATTTGTGGTATCGTGTGCACCAACCAGGAAGACATTGGTTTTTATTGTGTTGAGCAATTAGCCACCAAATTTCGATAATTTTTGTCTTTAGGTTCCTGTAATTGGATATAGGCAAAAGAACACCCAATCAAGTTTATTAACTTGATTAAAAATAATTAGCTAACTTTTAAAGTCTTTGCAGGTAGTTATCCAAACCCCTTCCTTCCCAGGGGTGTGACGTCATTATGGATGTAACCTATAGGCCTACATACTGTAATATGCAGTTTTATGTACTTCTCTACATATAATGACATATGCAGTGGCGTAGGCAGGGGGGAGGGGTTAAGGGGGTTATTACCCCTCCCATGGACTCGTACCCCGATACATATATATATATATATATATATATATATATATATATATATATATATATATATATATATATATATATATATATACTAGCCGTCCCAGCCAGGCCCTGCTCTGGCTTCTGTGAAAAACCTTTCTGTTAAAGACCATTACCTGTGTGTTTAGTAATCATCATAAACCCGGCATTGCCCACCCAAACCACAACCAACCAAAACAACAAAACGCAAACATAACGCTAACACAATTACAAATACAAACAAAAACAAAAACCTAACAACAAACCCAACCACAACCACAAACACCAATACAAACACAAAGAAAAAACAAACAAAAAAGCAAACGAAAACAAAAACCTAACAACAAACCCAACCACAAACACCAATACCAACAAAAAAAAACGAAAAAAAAAACGAAAAAGCAAACGAAAACAAACCAAATCCAAACGCAAAACCAACCAAAAACACAAATACAAACCCAAACAAAAAAACACAAACAAAAATGAAAAAAGAAAGAACAAAAACGAACCAAATCAAAACGCAACCACTAACGCAAACCCACCTAAACACAAAGAAAACACTAACGCGAACATAAACGCCCGGGGCGGAATCACCTGTTTTAGCTTAATGAACGACTATAGTACCCCAACTTATTCATAGTCTTTTGCACTCACTTAAACGAACGCGCCTGTTTCAATTTGATGAACAATTATAATACTCCAAGCTTATCCGTAAAATACCTACAACATTTGCACTTGATCAATCCCCGCTAATTATGTAATTTTTTTTTTCCCAACACCAAAACAAAGTAATTAAAAAGTAAATTCTTTTCGACTAATGCAGAGGTCTCCAAACTACGGCCCGCGGGCCGGATGCGGCCCGCAAAGTCCTCTCATCCGGCCCGCGGAAATTTTTTTATCCAAGGAAAAATCGTTGGTCGCTGATTGTTGAGGAACTTTGTCCAGAAAAATCAAAGACATGCCTGGAAGAAACTGCCCTTTGTACTGAATATTGATAGTTAATGCGGCCCTCGGACTGAAAAGTTTGGAGACCCCTGCACTAATGCAATGGTTTTATAAAGGGAAGTAATTGTGTTTTCCTAATTTATCGAAGGGAAGTAAGTGCTATAGGACTAAATAAAGACATAATTAGAATTGTTGTAAAAGATGATATTTTTTTAAAACTTGTGTTTAATGAACATGCCGACAATTATTATTATAATTTGAAAAATGAAAATTATTTCCCAACACTTTCAATAGTAATTTTTTAACTCATAAATTTAGACAAATGCGCACGATAATTGTCTAACACTTAAATCCATCCAAGACCAACGACAAACATATGCGTTACATACAGAACTGAGCTTTATATATTAGATTTGACTTAATACATATGGAAAACTATTTGAATCCCTCCCATGACCAATTCCTGGCTACGCCACTGGACATACGTAGCACAATTGACATTCCTTGTACAGAGTGTAATATATAATAAGATAAACGTCCTCCATAGGTCCACTATTATATGTAATACGTTGCCAGGTGGACGTCTCTATACAGACTAATATGTATCAAGATGGACCTCTCATATACAGTCTGTATATATAACACGATATGAGATCCCTTACACAGACTGTAAAATGTATTACGGTTGATATGTTATACTGAATGATATATGTAATGTGATATACGACCCCTTACACCGACTGTAAGATGTATTACGGTTGATCTGTTATACTGAATGATATATGTAATGTGATATACGACCCCTTACACCGACTGTAAGATGTATTACGGTTGATATGTTATACTGAATGATATATGTAATGTGATACACAATCCCTTATACAGACTGTAAGATGTATTACGGTTGATCTGTTATACTGAATGATATATGTAATGCGATATACAATCCCTTATACAAACAGTAATATGTAACACGACAACAAGCGTCACACCGTAAGAACCCAGCGGGTAGCCATTTAACCTACACGACTCTCACAAACTGGCTACAGTAAATAACTTGGCAAACAAATCCGCGTATTGACGTGCGTTAGATTGTTCTGGTAGAAGTAACGTGTGCGCCGGTCAATTCGATTTAAACTGATGCATCGTTTAAAGGTTTTTTTTTTGTTTGTAAAACGAAGTAATAAAATCTAATTTGCGACGCTACTGATTGGCTGAGCGTGTTGAATCAAGCGACCTATTCCATTGTGCTCACTTGAGTTCTTCCTATTGAATTTAATCGTCCATCACGTAATGACGTTTTTGTTTCAAATGGCAATCAGTACATGCTCTACTGAGTTACGTACTTCCAAAGTGCACATAAAGTCATCATTTGATGGTTTTACATTTTGTACTGGTCGGTTTTTACCATACGATCTACGTTATATGAGATTTGAATAGAAGGTTGATGAAAGAGGTTTCATTGCTTTACAATGGAAACTGAAATGATATCGGCAAGTAAGTAAAGGGACATAATTCTGTAGCAGCTATGTACGTTATCTGTAGGAAAATAAAACAAAGTATAAGAAAAAATATAGGACATGTTAAGTACAGAATAACCCAGTGAGCTAACAAGCTATTGTCTATTTAACAAGTTGAATAAACCACCAAACTGTTATTTCTTTTCAAATGGGGGTGGGGGGTGTCTAGACATGGCGCCAATATCTTTTATAACTCTGTGTTACGTATAAACCTGTTAAAATATGTAATATCTGATGTAACGTATTTATTTTCAAATTGAAATAGGCCTATGGCGTTTAGGTGCAAAGTGATTGCGACAACGTAGCTGTATGGGGGAGAAGTGGGTAAAAAAGTCTAAAAATTGAAGGCATTTAATGGTGTACTATATTTCACACGCCTACACTTAACCAATAATTGTACATCTTAGGTTATGCTTAAATAATAGCAATTAGCTCCCCTGTAGCGCCTCTTGTAGTGATCACATAATGTTTCTCAGTGGCAAAATTCAGTCCTCGTCAGCTCATACAGAACAATTATCCTGGAAGTAGTTCGCAGTAATCCAAATCAATATTCCACGACAGTTGACAGATCAAGCAGTTCTAAATTCGTACCAGGAACGAAAACTCTGATCAACAAAACTTGTGTTTAAATCCTGGACCAGGGGAGGTAACAAATGAAAATAAATTCTAAATAGCCGTTATAGAGTTACCTCCCTAAAACTGCAGTAGTAAAAAAACTCATGTAACTAAACTAATGTGGGCTCACTTGATTTACACTTTCTCAACGCTCAAACGTGGAAATAAAATGAAAACGCCTATGAGGACTAAACAATAGATATTAAACATAAAGATCTACACAAGCAATGTTGTGTTATGAAGCTCCAACTAGCCAAATGTCACTGACTAAATCCATAAAGTGATACTTTATAAATTATAATACTATAAAAGAGTAGTTATTCATAAACTGTTTAAGAATAAAAAAGTTATTATACCCATGCATTTGCAAAACATTCTTTTGGACCAAATGCTTAATGGGGCAGTACACCTCATTTAGTAAACTCCTTAAGTTTCCTATTTGTGCAGGGAATTCAGCACAAAAGCTTCAGTTCTGTTACAGATGGCTTTACTAAAGCATCATTTTTTTTTGGGGGGGGGGGGGGGGGGGAGAAAATTTTCAAATATGAAATAAGCTGTCGCATCTTTATGGAGACTAATTCTAGATTCTATATCTTGTATACCTTTATTTATACACGGGGCTAAGAAAAAAGTTAATGACAAGATTTGCCTACATTGTAATTACTAGAGGCTCTTTTGTTATTAGTTATAGATAAATTTACACAATTACTTGCTTCTAGAACTATTATATGCAAAATTACAATCAACAAGAACACATTCAGTCTGTTGTTAGACAGACCAAAAAAAAAAAAACCAATACAGGTAGTCATACAAATTTAATGGCATAGAAAACTTCACATATTATCTCAAAAATGGATCTGGTCGATTCTTTCTCATGACAAATTCAATCTTTCTGCGCATTTCAGAATCATAAATTCTCCGACATCTTTCATAGGTCAGGCGACTTCTTTTAAGAAATGGTTTCTCATATCTTTCTTTTCTTTTGACATCAGAGAAAAAATGCTCCTTTCTCAGAATACTGAGGAAAAAAGTTTTAAAAAGTATTAATATTTTAAAGGCGAATTTGTCCATTATTTAGCTACATTTAAAAGATAAGGCAAAAAAAGCAAAAAAAAAAAAAAAAAAAAAACAACAAAAAAAAAACGTGTTGTGTTACATCTTCCTTAACTCCGATATACTTTAATACCCAGTGTCAAGTTAGTGATTAAATCCTTTAAAATGATTTCAAGAAATTAATTATTTTAGTGCAAGTAATGGTTTGATTAGACAAATGTCTAAAGTGACAGACCTTTTTTGAAAAGTAATTTCCCTACTTTTTGTAACACTTAATTTCAAATATGTATTTTAATAAGCCATAACTAAAACAGCTTTTTAATACAATAATTAATCTAAAAACTTAAAACGAAAACCACAGTTTTAAGTCTTAATGCCTATGCATGTTTATTAAGATAAAAACAAGTTTTACTAGCGGTCAAATTGAATAGATGGAAGCGACCTAAATAATTACAATAAATAATTATAATAGGCTTAAACTAATAAGCCTTGGAAATGTTTGCAAACTCATGCTATCTAAACTTTCATATAATATTAATTAATATCATTAATATTTATTAGTAAAAAGTAAAAAATCCTCTTTAGACCTCGGCATTTGAAGGGAATGTGTGGACAGCACTTTGTTTGCCCAGTAACATGTTAGGTACCCATCGGAGCTGGGTGGACTCAAGGACGTTCTACGATTCAAACTCGAGATGTTAGAGTTAGAAGCCTAAATCTATACGGCTTAACATGTTACTTATTAAGGCTTAACTTGTTACTTATTAAGGCTTAAGCCACAGCTGTGGGTTGTCAAAAATTAAAACTTTAGACCCTAATTTTAGTAATTTAGCTCCAAGTAAAGAGTTTGGTGGATTTAAGATTAATCTCAATAGTAACAAACAATGGTAATTTTCATTGGTAATGTAAAATCATAAAATGTTTAAATTTGCAAAATAGGGCCTAGGCCTAATAAAATTCATAACATTTAAAATTGAGAGGGAATTGCTGATAAGGATAGGAAAATTAGATCTAGAATATCTACTATTTATTTATCTAGGACACGGGTTCCCAACCTGGGGGTCGCGAAGGCCTTTCTGGGGGGTCGCCAACTGGTAAACTAAACCTAAATAATGAGAAACAAAACATAAATATTTAGAAGAATATCTGAAATTCGGCTTTACTAACATCATTGGAAATGGAATAGGGAAGAGGCCATGCGTACTGTACAAAGTTGTTCTCAGTCACGAGTTTATGAAATCTCCAAAACTTAAACGTCATTTTAGACGAGTCATTCGGAACACACAAAAAATATATGGAGGTCTTTCGTCTGCATGAAGCTAGTTGCAAACGTCAGAGACTTGATCGAACAGGAAGTTTTCACCAAGGAAACACAGCATTAGTGCAATCATCAAACGGAGTTGCGATAGAAATCGCCAAGCAAAAAAAAGCACAATAGGAGAAAATCTCATCAAACGCAGCATATTGAAGATGGTGAAGTTAATTCTTGGGGATTCCAGTGCAATAAAGATGCAACAAATATATCTGCCTAGCAATACTATTCAGCGGCTTATAGCAGACATGTCCGTAGATTTTAAATAAAAATGTGTTAATGAAATCAAGCTTTTACCATTGTTTGCTTTTCAAGTTGATAAATCAACAGACGTGAGTTCGTGTTCTCTGTTGCTGGTCCTATATTCATTCATATGTTAGCAAAGAAGAGTTGCTATTTTGTGAAGATAGCATGGAGACAATAAACACGTTTTATGAAGCTGGATGATTAAAATGGGTTAAAACGGCTGTGGGGGCTTGTACGTATGGTGTGCCATCTATGTTTAGGTCAAAATCGGGCTTTCAGAAAACCGAAAAGATTTACCTCCCTGACCACTGCCCACGCCATCAAGACTGCATTGCTAGAAAAAGTTATAAATTAAATCTGAAGCCTTCAAAGAACTGAGCAAAGATATGAATAAAGATAATGATGTTCTGGTTTTCTACACTACAGTACGCTGGCTGTCAAACGAAATGTTGTGAATCGTGTTTTTGAAATGAAATCTAAAATCAAACTGTTCTTGAAAGTGCAAACGAATCAAGACCTTTTGGTTTACTTAAAACGACATAGAGTAGTTGGAGAGCGTATCATACCTAGCAGAAATATCCGAACATCAACATAAGCTTAACCTGAAGCTTCAGGAAAAATGAAAGAATATTATCGCTTTCCATGATAATCTCGGGGCATTTTTATGAAAGCTGCAAAATTGGCGAAGAAAATAAATCTAGGAACTATTGTAAATTTGAGAAACTCTGCAGTGTGGTAGATGAATCTGATTGTGAGATAATTACATTTTTGAAAGAAACAATTTCTAGGCATCTTAATCTCTTGTAAACGAACTGCAGCGCTATTTCTCTGAGCTGAAAAAAGAAGAATCTGCATTGACACATTACCCATACTCTGCTTTCTTTGATGTTGCCAGAGTTCCCGATGAATTCTTTGATTTGCAGAATGATTTCGCTTAAGATGAAAAACTGTACAAACAAATTTGGTGTAGTATTCACCATTCATACCCAAACGTAAAATTGATTGACTTTTCGAGAATATATATTTTCAACACTATTCTCCAATTAAAAACAAAATTAAGAAATAAATTGAATGTTGATGATGACAGGTTAGCGTTAACAAAAACTTAACCACGAATGTTTAGTAAATGGTATGCAATTTTATTCATGGTATTAAAACAGATATCAATGGTAGTTCATATTGAAAGTCTACAAGAAAATCTTATTTTAGTGCTTGTTATTTTCTATACTAATTTCGGCTTTTGAATTCTATGGGGGTCGCGGGTCACTTACTTTTTATAAAAGGGGGTCGCCACTCAAAAAAGGTTGGGAACCACTGATCTAGGACTTAACTTAGAAAATGTCTTGTCTTTAAAAAAAAAAAACAGGAGTTAGCCTCACAAGTTTAGTAAGTTTAGTAATAATAGTTAGTAAAGTTATTATCACTAGAGTACACTGTCTGGATAAAACTCCATTTTAGAGTACTTTATTTTCCGCTTCTGGTTTACCTCCAGTTGAGCGTATTTTATTATAATAACCGAAACACACAAAAACGTTAGAAAAACACTAGATGTACTTATTTTTTTATGAATGTGATTTTTAATTATAAAAGGTAAAAAAAAACATAAAGCATTAGAACTGTTCCAATTAAATATAGTGTTATCGTCAGCGGGAGAAAAATCCTTTCACTGTCAAGGGTTCACCGTGAGTTCACACTGACTTTAATTATCAACATAAGTCATAGCTCGGGCAATAGCTGCTTGAAATTGTGTTGGCCTCAGTTTTGGGGTCATTGTAAGTTCATAAATGTTTATTTATAGTACCATGCCTGGGAGATACTTGTAACAATACAAACCGCCTTACAATTGGGAGTTACGTTTATGTACTTCGCCCATTGCCATGAAAATTCTAACTGACACACGAACATAGCACATTCAATATTTTAAATTTGGATTTTTCTCAAGTTTTGACAAAACTAAATTATCAAAATCTAAAACAAAGTCAGTCTCTTTGTTTTTTTATTCATTTGTTAAAAAAAAATACAACACTTGACCAATAAATATATCGTGCTTTCCTAATGTTTTGGTGTGTTTCAGTTATTATAATAAAATACGCTCAACTGGAGGTAAACAAGAAGCGGAGAATAAAATACCCTAAAATGGAGTTTAAGCCACTGTCTGTATTACTGTTACAGTGATTACAATTTTACATCATTACAGTGTTACACTTAGGTCTTACTTAGGCCTACTGTTTACTACTAGATCTACCGCTCTACACCAGGGGTCTTCAAACTACGGCCCGCAAGGTCTTCTCATCCGGCCCTCGGTGATCTTTTTTGTCCACGGAAAAAAATGTTTGTTGTAGGTGGCTGTGGAAAAATGCCACCCCAATGAGATGCCTGGAAGAAACTCTGGCCCCCGAACTTAATATATTTGATATAATTTGATTGATAGTTAATGCGGCCCTCGGCCTGAAAAGTTTGGAGACCCCTACGCCCTACACTCAGTACACTGACTTTTGCCTGACTTTTTTTAATATTAGAATATAGATCTTAGCCATCTAGGCCCTAGGCCAAATAATGTTTTTGTTTTTTTGCACACTTACTTATCCAAAAGTCTGTATGCTGGTTCTATGTCATTATTTTTTACAAGTACAGTTCTTGCTATAAAGCGCAAATGATTTGAGGTCATTTTAAAAATATTTGTCAGGCCTAGTTTAGATGGGGAAGGTTGAAGAAAATGACAGTTATCTTTCCTTCGTGGTTATTTTTATAAGCCAGATTTTGTTGTTAACGTATTTCTAACTAAGAAATCTGACTACAAAACAATTCTACGGTTAAATTGTAATTATACTAATTAAATAATAATCTTACGGATCTGTTTTAAAACATTTAATTAAACTTTTAATAAAAATAAAACACATAACTGTATCATAAAGTAATCAGTTTGCACATAATTTTCTTAACTATTTCAATTTATTGGTCTTACCCTAAAGTTAGTTAAAATTGTGAAATAAAAAGATTTTGGTTCTCGGTAAGCAGTTAGACCCTATGGCGGTCGCCTACAAACACCGTACCGTACTAGTCGTAACACTGTGACAGGAATAAAGATCTAGATCTAGATCTAGTTGTTATAAATTAGTGTGGTTTTTTTTTAATTTTATATAGATCTAAGCCTCATTGTTTCCATTCATAATTCACATTTTTACTGTCAAGTTGTTTCTGTTAATATTCTGAGTTCGTTTAATTTAAAAGATCAACAAAATGCTTGGGGCTCCAACAACTACTGCAGGTAATCCCCATGTTTTTGTGCCTTCAATAGAATCTAGATTAAGATCTAGACTAGATATAGATCTAGTCTAGATCCAGACAACTACCTTAGACTTAGTACTTGCTATTACTAATACTTTACAGTTGATCTACTGTTTATTTTATTAATAGTTAATAGATCAAGGCCTACTAGCCAGTAGCAGTAGCCTAGCCAAACTAGGTAAAACTCCATTTTAGCATATTTTATTTCTCCGCTGCTTGTTTACCTCCAGTTGAGCGAATTTTATTATAACAACCGAAACACACCAAAACATGATTCATTTATTTGCATTGTATTTTTGTTTTAACAAATTAATAAAAATATATAAAAAAAACAAAGAGACTGACTTTGTTTTAGATTTTGATAATTTAGTTTTGTTAAAACTTGAGAAAAATCCAAACTTAGAATATTGAATGTGCAATGTTCGTGTGTCAGAATTTTCATGGCAATGGGTGAAGTAGGTAAAGTCGTAAACGTAACTCAAGGCGGTTAAGTTTGTATTGTTACAAGTATCTCCCAGGCATGATACTATAAATAAACATTAATGAACTTACAATGACCCCAAAACTGAGGCCAACACAATTTCAAATAGCTATTGCCCGAGCTATGACGTATGATGATAATTCAATGTCAATGCGAACTCACGATGAACCCATGACCGTGTAAGGATTTTTCTTCCGCTGACGATTACACGAGATTCGATATTTAATTGGAACAGTTCTAATGCTTTTTATGTTTTTTTTACCTTTTCTAATTAAAAATCACATTCATTAAAAAAAATAAGTAGATCTAGTGTTTTCCTGACGTTTTTGTGTGTTTCGGTTGTGTTTATAATAAAATACGCTCAACTGGAGGTGAACGTCAAGTGGGGAATAAAATACGCTAAAATGGAGTTTTACCCCAAACTATTACAATTGAATTTAGTAGGCTTAACCAAAACTAACATAAGTAAAAATATATTATACGAGCCGACCTGCGGCATATCATACGCCGCTATTTAGTTGTTGTTTTTTTTTCCTTTTCTGTTATTCATAATTTGTGAATTTGAATTCGACACTACCAACGCTGCCACTGAAAATATTTCTTTAAAACACTATAAGTAGCTCGTTAAGGACGATAAACCCCCCCCCCCTCCGTTAAAGTAAACTCCACTTAGTTACCTCCCCCCCCCCCCACGTTTAAAATCGTTTCAAACTAAATTATCTGCCCCTAATAGTCGACACTAAACCCGGCTCTGTTTGTAAACATTTAGAGTGAACCACAGCTCACCAGACCATGTAGGGGTGGGGGTGGTAGGAAGCGCGTTTACAGCTTGTTTTCTAGCGTCTCCCAGAAGAGAATTATATATATAGATATTATATACTATATAGGGCCTAATACTAGACTAGATCTAGATGTCTAGATCTAGTCTAGATGTCTAGATCTATATAAAATCTAGATCTAGATTCAAGTCTGGAACTAGATTCTAGATCTAAATTTAATTCTTTTTAAAGCCTATGTTAATCAATTAATGATTCAAATGTAAATGTAGGCCCTAAGTGACTAAATTTATTTTAAAATAATTAGGCCTAATAAAGTAATAGTAATAGATTAGATCTAGGTCTAGAATCTAGGCCTGATTTACTTTTTTTTAAAATGCATCTTTGATCCTGGGACAAATTCTCAAAATTGCAGCTTTGTTCCGTTATTTAGTCAAGAATTTGTTAAGCTGTTTTTTTGCGCCTGACAATCAACATTTTTTAAAAGAACCTTTTTAAGCACCTTACATATTAAAAGATAGCACTAGGCCTAGTTGTATTCGGCTAATGGAGAGTTTTAATTATAATGCATGGTGGTGAAGGCGATTGTGTCCTTCAAATATAAAGTAAGAATAGCAATCTCTTAACAATTGGCTTCAGTGCAGCTGCTAATTTTAGGATAAGTATCTCATTTTCATGAGTTAAAATTAAAATGAGGCCATTTTTTTTATAATAGAAACACATTTATATTCTATAAGTTAATAGCCAGTGTAAAAAATGTATTTCTCATCTTGTGTTTTAGGGTCAACAGGCTTTACCTTCGGTTCTTCAACCTCTGGTGGAGGGTTTTCCTTTGGAGCTGGTTCGGGTGGCACAGCTGGAGGTTTTGGAGGGTTTGGTCTCTCAGGTGCCGCAGCAACAAGTGCACCAACAGCTGCAACAACTGGCTTCAACTTTGGAGCAGCTGCCACTAAGCGTAGGGACCTGCTATTTATGTCATTATTTATTCTGCCGATATTCACTTGCATTTTATGTTTTTTATTTTTGGTACAATTAGTTTTACTAGATCAATTACTTTCACAGCTTGTAACACAAACAATGATTTCATAACGCACACAAGATTTCAAGTAAAGTAACAAAAGTGACAACTTTTGTTGTAAAATAATCAAAATTTAAAAAAAAAAAAATTAAAATGGCATTTTTTATGTTGATTCAGAAAAAAAAATCCTAGATTATCCTAAACAGATTCTTCTAAAATAATATTTGTTAATAATAGCAAAAAGTAAAGTTAGTTTTATATGTGTCACTACTTACTATATTTATTCCTCAGCCCCTACAAGTGCAACTGGTTTTGGGTTTACTTTAGGCACTCAACAGCCCACTTTAGGCACCCAACAGTCCACTTTAGGCACTCAGCAGCCCAGTTTAGGCACACAACAACCAGCTTTAGGCACCCAGCAGCCAGCTCAAGTCTCTCAGCCATCTAGCACAGGATTTGGATTCTCTCTAGGATTGACTCAGCCGTCGCAGCCCTCACAGCCTGCTACAGGGTTTTCTTTTGGGCAGGTCTCAGCTGCAGGTGGTGGTGACACAACCGCCACAAACACCGCAACAGCTGGTACAATTGGCTTCGGGATAAAACCTCCAGCTTCAACCACACAAAGTGGTTTTACTGGTTTTGGTAAGAGCATCATACTTATTGTCTTGTAATTGGTGTTAGCTTTATATCTTAAGAAATGATTTCTGTTTAACCATTTGTTTTTAATGTAACACACAAGCAATATTATACAACTTTATGACAAAGTCATGCATTCCCATTAATGTTAATGATAAGCTCAATAGTCAGAATCCATGACATTACACCTCTAAAACCTGTAATTTTTTGGTCCTGTTTTGGCCATTATAAATTTTATTTGCACGCTAGGAAACAAATGGTACATTATTTCTTTTACAAATATCAGATGAATTTTAACACCTTTCATTTGACTTAAGGTTGTTATTGGTTAAAACCATTATTTTTAAACCAATATTAATGTTTATAAATCAATCTCATCCACTAGCCACAAGTATATTTGGTTATTATAAATGCTTACCGTACACTTTCTTCTAACTAATCCGTTATTTTAATAATTATTTGCAAGTTCTGACTTTGGTCAATGAAAGACCAATGTCCACAGCCAGGCTTGTACTGTTTGATGAAGCTATTAACCAACGTTTTCTGTTCCATGTGTAGGTGCAGCTACCACAACATCTGGGGTAGGCACTGGGTCACTGCTTGGGGGACTTCTCAGCGCTCCCACTACAACAACCACCTCTACAGCTCCAGCGTCAACTACCTCAGCCCCTTCTGGGTTTAGCTTTGGAGGCTCTATAACAGCTCCAGCTTCTACAGCTTCAACAGTTGGAGGTAAATCAATGTTTTATTTGATGGACACTAACATTTTTTTTTTATGGGTTTAAATCATCATTTTCTACTTTGTTTACATGATTTGTAATGTCAGATTTATTTTTGGAATTTTGTGCAGTTTGTTATATTTTTATAATTAAGCCAAATATGAGTAATCATTTGATGATAATGTTGCAATTTAATTTAATTTTGTATATTTTCGCCGTTTAATTTCAGGTTTTGGTTTTGGGTCAACCACAACACAACAGAGCTTGACAACTTCAAGTCTGGGTGGAGGAAATGTATCTAGTACTTTTGGAGTTCCCTCATCTTCATCTGCTGTAACATCCACATTGGCAACCTCCACAGTTACTACTATTGGGTAAATAGTTCAACCCTTACTTCAGGTTGGGGGGGGGTGTAAATATTTCAGTCCTTGGTTCAGGTGGGGGGGGTGTATTAATCATAGTCTAAAACATTGGGCAAATAGTTCAATCTTTAGTTCAGGTGGGGGGGGGGGGTGTATTAATCATAGTCTAAAACATTGGGAAAATAGTTCAATCTTTAGTTCAGGTGGGGGGGGGGGGTGTATTAATCAGTCTAAAACATTGGGCAAATAGTTCAATCCTTAGTTCAGGTGGGGGGGTGTATTAATCATAGTCTAAAACATTGGGCAAATAGTTCAATCCTTAGTTCAGGTGGGGGGGGTGTATAAATCATAGTCTAAAACATTGGGTATAGTATTTCAACCCTTAGTTCGTGTAGTGAATGGGGGGGGGGGTGTATGAGTCATAATCTAAAACAATGGGTAATTAGGTCAGCTCTTAATGGAGGCGAGCGAGTTGACGAGATTCCGTCCCCAATGTTGTTGACATGGAATAAAAACATGCTTTTTAGATTTAGACCGTTAAAAAAAAAAAAAAAAAAAAAAAAACTTAAGCCTAAAATTAATTTAGAAATTTTATATTTTTAGAATAAATGTTATAAAAGTTGCAAATCCAGAGAACTTGAAAATAATTTGTTGAGTTTAAGGCTACATTTCTATTTATTTTCATCAAGCCTAAGTTATAACCGGATGTTTCACTTTCGTAAGACAAATATTGATTGGCTGTACAGTAACTTAGTGTAGCTAGGCCAATGCCGCTGCCGAGAAAATCGGACAAATCGGCTTTTCCCTACCCCTTGCATGTTTAACTCTGTTTTTTGCATGCTTTTATTGTGTTTATGTTAACATGTTATACATCATTCTGTTCGTAATTGAATAACCTTTTTAACTGTATTAGTTTGATTTCTCTATTATTTCAGACGTTGAAGAAATCGCCGATTAAATCGCATTTTTTACCCTCCGCGGCGACGTGCCGATTAGGGGGGAGGCTTTTTCATCTTTTTAAAAGGGGGGTGTTACTTGGAGTCTATAGACTCTGTGAGTTTTCGTACTACAACTGTGAAACTTGGTAGAAGAATAGATTAAATGTACACGTATAACGCTCAGGGTTCTTGGTTAAAATATGTTAAATACTTTCGGAGATATCGGACCGCAAAGTTAAACTAAGTTATTTGAGCTATTTATGGACCGATTTTTTATTTGAACCCTGAGCTGTATTCCTGAAATCTCGACGTTTATTAATATGTATCATATGTCCTATAAGGCCCTATAATAAGGACGTCTATAGACTTTGAAATGGACCGAAAATATAAACACGACGCGCCGACCGCTGTTCGACTGAACCGCCCTGCTGTGCTTCGAATCGCCGTCTTTAACCTGATGACGCGTTACAAAATTTGTATACACGTATCGAGTTTACGTACTACAACAGTTAAATTTGGCAGACGAATACATTAAATGTAGACGTATAATGCTCAGGGTTCGTGGTCAAAATAAGTTAAATACTTTTGGAGATATCGGACCGCAAAGTTGAACCAAGTTTCCCGGTCTATTATTGGACATATTTTAAATTTGAACCCTGAGCTGTATTTCCGAAATCTCGACGTTTATTTAAATGTATAACATGTATTATAGCGCCTCGTAATAAAGCCGTCCATACATTTTAAAACCGAACGAAAATAAAAATTAACGCGTCGGCCGCCGTCCGACTGAATCGCTCTGCTGTGGTGATCTACACATCGTGTGGCACAGCAGAGTGTGTGGTCACGTGACGCTAGGCGCTTGATCCGATTGGATGATACTATAAACAATGTCTAAAGATAGATACATGTGTTCCCGTGTTTGACTCGACGGCTATTGCTACTTTATATTTATAAGCACACAGACATGTTGTAGCTAGGCCAATGCTGCTGCCGAGAAAATCGGACAAATCGGCTTTCCCTACCCCCTGCATGTTTAACTCTGGTTTTTGCATGCTTTTATTGTGTTTATATTAACATGTTATACATCATTCTGTTCGTAATTGAACAACCTTTTTAACTGTATAAGTTTGATTTCTTTATTATTTCAGACGTTGAAGAAATCGCCGATTTAATCGCATTTTTTACCCCCCGCGGCGACGTGCCGATTAGGGGGGAGGCTTTTTCACCTTTTTAAAAGAGGGGTGTTACTTAGAGTCTATAGACTCTTTGAGTTTTCGTACTACAACAGTGAAACTTGGTAGAAGAATAGATTAAATGTTCACGTATAACGCTCAAGGTTCTTGGGGAAAATATGTTAAATACTTTTGGAGATATCGAACGGCAAAGTTGAACTAAGTTATTTGGGCTATTAATGAACCGATTTTTAATTTGAACCTTGAGCTGTGTTCCTGAAATCTCGACGTTTATTAATATGTATGATGTGTCATATTAGGTCCTATAATAAGGACGTCTATAGACTTTGAAGTGGACCGAAAATCAAAACATGACGCGCCGACCGCTGTCCGACTGAACCGCTCGGCTGTGCTTCGAATCGCTGTGTTTTAAATATGACGCGCTACAATTTTTTTATAGACGTATCGAGTTTACGTACTACAACAATCAAATTTGGCAGACGAACAGATTAAATATAGACGTACAACGCTCAAGGTTCGTGGTCAAAATAAGTTAAATACTTCGGGAGATATCGGACCGCAAAGTTGAACTAAGCTTCCCGGTCTATTATTTGACCTATTTTACATTTGAACCTTGAGCTGTATTCCTGAAATCCCGCCGATTATTTTAATGTATGACATATATTATAACGCCTCATAATAAAGCCGTCCATACATTTTAAGACGGAACGAAAATAAAAATTAACGCGTCGGCCGCCGTCCGACTGAATCGTGATCTACACATCGTGTAGCACAGCCGAGTGTGTGGTCACGTGACGCTAGGCGGTTGATCCGATTGGATGAGACTATAAACAATTTCTAAAGATAGATACATGTGTTCCCGTATTTGACTCGTCGGGTATTGCTATTTTATATTTAAGTAGACAGGCATGTTTCATAACTTTATCTTAAACCATTGAAACGGCAAAAAAAAAAAAGTCGTAATAGTATTTACTAATCGTCAAAATTAATCTTCTTTAGAAATTAATCCGGATAGCTGCGACCCGACCAAACAATGCTGACGTGATTCGCGTGCCGTAACGTTTCATTATTGTGTACATTACTTTTTCGTAAAAATGACTTTAAAAAATAAATTTTACCCCGGGCTCTTTTTTTTCGGTTGACTAAAAAATTTTAAAACCCTTAACAACGTGGATGTTACTAGCTTGCCAAATTCTACCAAAATGGGATGGGGTGGGTATGGGGAGTCACTGACCATCCTACACGGTATGTAACTATTGTAACACCGTATGTAACATCCATAGCCTCACCCCGCCCCCACTACTCCGTGACGCGACAAGCCGAGGGTCGGCGCCTTTGATGTTGTATAACACCCGTACGGTACCCGAGCGGCTCGCGGTGGTTTCATACCCCACCTCTCTCCCCCTTCACTTTGTGGAGTTGATGTTACTAACCCTCGGGCATAGATCAGGAAATCTTCCCAGACTTTTGTCTCTAAAAATAGTAAAATTACATAATATTCGTCTGACACGTTCATCGGGTTGGCCGACTAGCCTATCTAGCCTCGTGTTTACGTAATACGGCAATAAAATTCGTTGGTCAGAAAACCTGGTTACCCACGTCTGATTTCACTAAATCTAGGCAAATGCTGATGGTGATAAACGCCTCCTGAAACTTAAAAAATGCCTAGCATCTACTACACACAGTCAAGCACTCAAACACGTGCTTTTTTCCCAATGTAATAGGCCTATGGTAGGCCTACAAAATACACAAGCTTACAACTAGCATAAACATTGAGCATATATAAATCTATGTTATAGACCTATAACTTACACTACCTTGTACAAGCTAAAAAAAACAATTTTCCTCCAATGTTTATGTTATTAAAATTGTAAAAATGAGCAATTTTTTTGTGTTTAAAAATATTACAAAATTGTCATAAAGCACACTGATTCTGATAAGACATTTGTAACTAGGCTAATTCTATAGAAGAAAGTTGTATCAATGGTATGACATTTAAAGTAACAAGAAATATAAATATAATAAGATATGCCTATATTTTTGGAATAGAGTGTACGATTGTACATAGATTACATAACATATTTTAAGAAGTTACATCATCACAAATATACTATTGTTATAGCATCCTTCTCTTTGTATTAAAACTGTATTAGTTATCTTTTCTTTAAGTAGGCTATTCACTTAAGTTAACTGACAATGAGCAAAAGAGATTTTAAAATAAATACATGGTAAATTATGAGCAAAAGGTGCGAATTACATAACCTGACCTTTATAGTTTTGTAATAATGTTCGACCATTTTAAATATCACCATTAGCTTCAGCATATACAAATGTCCTATTATGGTTTAAAACAGTGTTTAATTTAAAGAATGACTTCTTTTCACACGGATTATCAGATGTTGTAAAAAAAAATTGAAGGGGGGTATTACATAATCCATGAAATAAGTCTGTTATGTAATCAAAAGACACTTTTTAAAATAGCATCATTGGATTCGGCATACAAAAATCTACAAAATATCATAAAATGACATCAATTGGTGAAGTCTGCTTGCTTTTATACCACTTTCAGTGAAAAACGCTTAAAAATTTGGTCCATACCCTCCCAGTATTTTTCCTCTTTCAGGGTCTACCCCGGTTGTCTGAAAAAACTGCTGTTTTTTAATGACAAAAAAAATCATAACTTTTTTGTTTATGGTCAGATTTTGAAAATTTAAACTGATCTGAAATCAGATTGACAGCCCCTATCCAAATATGTAACTATTATATTGTTTTACTGAAATTAAATTTTTGCATTGGCCTAGCTACTTAGTGATCGATAACTATTTGTTTACAAAACTTTGCAGATCATGTTTTTAAATTACAATGCAAATTTAAAACCCCATGACCTAGTTTTCTATTTTTAGCTTACAATGTGTACAATAAAATCAATGGCGGCCTATCCAATAGCAGGATGCCATTGTTTATGTCGCCATTACACGTGAAAACCAAATTGTTTTTGCTTTTTTTAAATTTTTATTTAGTTACCGAAAATATTATAAACATCAAATACATCCAATCTTTAGTAAAGTCCGAAAAAAACCAGATAGACAGGATTTTATAACCATATTAATTGTAACTACGCTGTGCATGATTTTTAAATGAATTTATACACCTCTCAAATACCTTTGAGACTTTTCTCGCTGGTGTCCATTCTTGGGATGTGATTGTAGAGTATACAAGTAATAATATAAATCAGTATATGGAGTCCTGAAGGGAAGTGCATCAGACCATTTAAATAATTTCTCCAGTGGACCATTAAATCTGAAAGCTCTTCCAACAAAGCATAATGTTAAATCTATATTTAAATTTAATTTTTAGGGCGCCCGCAGTAGGTCAGAAACAGATGACTTTCAGGCAGCTTGAGGAGACCATTAACAAATGGACCACAGAACTGGAGGAGCAGGAAAAATATTTCCTAGAGCAGGCCACACAAGTCAACGCCTGGGACAGGATTGTCATGGATAATGGAGAGAAAGTTGGTCTTTTTGCTTCACACATCCATTTATTGACAGTACAACCTGGTTGTAATGCAAACATTTATTTTATAATGGTCCTTGCTTAGATTTACTGTCACATTCATTCCTTGACTTATATGTCCATACTGTTTTGGCTTTAGCTATTTATTTTTGTCATCATCTTAACACCATAGTTATTTTAAGTAGGACTTGTATATCCGTTTTTTATATGTTATATTATTGCTTTATTTCTATGGTTATTATATGTAAATCTATAAGATTTATTGTAATTTATAGTTATTAATTGTGATGCCTATCATTCTTTATTTGGACTGTTATCTCATCAAACGTAAATAAAATACTTCATTTCAGATCATACAGCTGAACAAAGATGTTGAAAAGGTAAAACTAGATCAACAGAAGCTTGACCATGAACTAGACTTTGTCCACTCACAGCAAAAAGAGTTAGAAGATATTTTGGTGCCCTTAGAGAAAGCGCTAGACTCCATGCCTGCCATTAGCTACCAACAGCATGCAGATGTTGAAAGGGAACACACGTAAGAAATGCTTTTTTTACTTTGATGCTGAAAGTACTTAAAATGATATTGTACCTTTTTCTTTTATAACAGTTTATATAATATATTTGTTTTTAATCGAGAGAGAAATTAGACATTTTGTTGTGAAATCTTATTGTAAATAAGAAAAAGGTTGTTGGTTAATTTTGCCATGTCAAATTTGATCTCACCCTCTTAAGAATGAAATGCTGCTTTGTTTTCCCCTGATAAATTTAATTCCACCCAGCAAGACATTTTCTTTATCATTCCGTTATGTTATAGGTACATGCTTGCGGAAAGTTTGGATGCACAGCTCAAGCGCATGGGCCAGGACTTAAAAGAAATCATTGAACGTCTCAACTCCTCCAACTCCAAGCCTGATCCTAATGATCCAGTAAGTCAAGTCTAGCTCATCTTTCCAGCATGGTTTTAACTTTTAAAAATATTTTTTTATAAGTGTTACAAAGTTTAGCCTTAAAGAATAGTAATGCCTTTACTGTAAATATCATTGTTACTTTTTTGGTTGCTACGATGTTGTCATTTATTTTAGCACTATTTTAGTTAAAACAGATTAATATTTATTGTGCAGAAGTAGAAATTATAACTTTCGTTTTTACACTTTTAAAATATAAAAAAAAATATTTAAAAATTATTAAATAATTGTGATTGTTACATTGATTAATGATTTTAACTGTACGCCCGTTACTTTCTAACTCTCCTAAACATTTGCTCCAATTTGATTTCTCAGGTTCAGCAAATAACCAAAATATTGAATGCCCATGTTGTTTCCTTGATGTGGATTGATAGAAACTCAGGTACTTATTCAGTCCAAACTTGTTTAATTTCCCTTTACAATTATAGATGCTACTGTGTCCCTTTTATATAGGTTAGAGCATCAATCACTGTGCAAAAGAGTTAATCCCTCAATGCCTTGAGTCTTGCGCTCTCATTTCTTAGCCTCCCCTTTACACCTTTGCAATTATAGTTGCTACTGTGTCCTTTTTATATAGGTTGGAGCATCAATCACTGTGTAGAAGAGTTAATCCCTCAATGCCTTGAGTCTTGCACTCTCAAGACATTTCCTAGTCTTAATTATTGCTTTAGTTTTAACATAATTTATTTTGTACCAAACAAAAAAAAAATCCCCAAGTTGAAAATGTTGTCTACTTGTCCGCAGCCAACTTACAAAAACAAGTTGATGACATCACCAAACAGATGGAGAGAGAGAAGAGAGAGCAGGAGAAAAATTTCAGATTGGCTTACAGTTAAAACTTTTTTATTTGAATACATTTCATCCGTTATGTGTACACATTGGCTTATCTTTATACAACTTTACCAATGTGCATGTTTATAAAATAAAAAAAATCTTCCAGACAACAGCTATGTGTTCAATATACTTTTGTTGAAATAGATTTATTGTAGCACCAGCTACTTAAAAAATTCTGACATTCTATCCCATTAACCCTTAAAGCTCTGGGCACAATTTTTTTTCTATGATTTGCTTCCCACATAGTCACGTGAACCCAACAAACATGTATTCTACTACAGAAAACTCAGCACTTAAGTGCCAGATTATCAAATCAAAACCTGAATAGTCTAACTAAATTAACTTTGTTTCACTTTTTAAATAATAACTAAAAAGATGATTATACGTTTTGGTGACAATCTGATCTTGCTGATAGAATGACTGTGGTCTATGTTGGTTAGTGCTGTTGTAACGTTGTCAGAAGGTATTTTATTAGTTTTAAATTTCATTTGTATTAGAGTTGTTATATATGTGGGATACATAATAAGTCTAATTTAAGTTTAAGTCAATATAGACTGACAGGCTACACTGCTAGTTATTTTTTTTGTGCAAACAATTTGCCATTAACACATGCACTTAATGAATTTTTTCATGTTTATTCAAATTGTACCGAAATATTTATCTCTAAATGCCATTATGAGTAGTTCCAAAGAAAAATATAGCTGTCACCAGATCTTACAAGGTTCTCTGTCTAAGGTGTCCGTGAAGCCCCACCACACTCATGCGAGGTGTCTGAAATACAAACATTGTAAACTCAGTTTGGGAGGGATTGCAGAGCATCACTGAGTCCACTCAGCTTTGTCGAGTACCTGGCACCAGTTATAGGTATACTGGAAGGTAGACCGGTTGCTGAGTTTCAAATTCTGGTACAAAACCAGTGGTTGCAGTAATCTCAGCTTAACTGAGTACCTGGCTAAATTAACAGAAAGCTTGGGTGGATGATGCTCAATAGCTGGGGCCAGTGACCCGTTAGAGAGAGAAACTCGAAAATCAAACAACTGCTGCCTTGTAGATTGTTCTTGAATGGAAGCAAACCCTGATTGAAGAGCAGTCTGAAAGCAGGCCATAGCATCATCTTCTCCCATTCGTGCACAAGAAACAGGGCAGGTGAAGTAGAGTTCATCTGGTTCAGACAAGTGGATAGTTTAGTCATCACCATGCCCAGCCACGTTTGTTACCATAACGTGTGTCAGGGACCTTCCTATAGATACAAAAACCGGGATCCGAACTCGAACATTGTTAGTTTGTTGTCCTAAGCTCTACTAGATGACCACGCTGTTCCCTCATAACATTTCTTCTTGGTTGGACAAAGGCCATGGAAGCAAATCCAGAAGGAATTCTGGCTGAGGTGGGGGTTTACGGCCTATGTGGCAAGTTGACACGTAATACTAAATTGTGGTGGAGGAAATCTCGTCCAACATTACAATTACGGAAAAGTTTGTAGAATGTTAAACATACGTAAGTCAAAAGTGCCTCACCTCGCTAACATGTGAGCTAGACATCGTGCAGATGTCTGGAATGTTGAAGATACTCGCGTCTGCTATACCTGCGGTGATGTTCTGCATGCTGAGGATGCTCATGCTAGAGGCTAAAAATAGATTACAGGACGCTGATCAGTTGTTCGATATACACAGTTGAAAACTTCGTGGTGTTATACTATGAAAAGTATTCTTATTTGTCAGATCCCTTTCTTCCACTAATTGGTTCAGTCGGTTAATTATTACTATTAGGCATTTCTAATGAGTCGTTTGAATAGCCACGTGAAAAATATTGAACATTTTAACTTCAGCCAATGACTGGTTATCTTTGAGGGTAAGAGTTGTCATCCCTAAGGATACTGTTAAATTATGGTCTAGTTCAGTGGATATTGGGCCTATAGAGACTTATGTATAGGCGGGTAGGGTGGAGTTTAATTTTTCTCAAAATCTTTTAACAAATTTTACCAGGAAAGACTAACTCACTCCATCTATATCCTAGATCAGCTATGTCAATGACCAATAAAATGACGTAGTACGCATGTTTCACAAGGTATAGGGCTGGTAAGTAGGTCACCAACCAGTTCTACGGCTCAATAAAAACTGCATGAGCCATATAACTGGTTGGTGACCTACTTACCAGCCCTATTGTAACCTGCTAGTGTGGGGATCTGGGTCACGTTGTTAATTACCGAGATTTACTGTTAGTTATAGACATAGCTTATCCATTACAACATGAACAAATCTCAAGGATGGGTGTGGACTTTACTCACTGTTGTCTATGGTTAACAGAACCTCATGCAAGGGAACGCACTCGTTCTTTGACACGGTAATCCTAACGGTTGAGGTTCTTGGCCCAGCAGACGATGGCAGAAACCACGTGTCTGCTTTGATCCCGACATAGTCATGTGTGCCCATATAGGTGGCGCCCGCTAAAAATAGAACAGTTTTATAATCGTTAGGCTTTTCATTTTAACAAAAATTATACGATATTTAAAACATTATTCGATCTAGCAAACTGATTTTTTTAAAGTTTCAAGGAACAGCTAAATGATACTTTAGAATACTTTAGATGCCAGATTGCCAGATTGCCAGCTCCAACTTTAAATTTTTACTTTTCTTGCCTAAACGTACCTGGCACACAGCTGTTGTCTAGCGCGGCCGTCAAGTTTGATTTAAAACACTGGCCGTCTATCACCGTGTACGTCATTTTCTGTTGTATAATCACATGTGTATTAAATAAGATAAACGCTTTCAAACTAAATATACAAGTCTCTAAAGTCTTTTTTATTCAAATATTAGCAAGGATATAGATATTTTACAAATTGCTTTAGGCTTTAGACCCCCCCCCCCCCCTTCCCCTAAGATGCTATGTGTTTACATGTATTTTAATTTTAAAACATTTTTTGGGGATATATAGAATATATTGACAATTAAAATAATTCTGTTATGACATGGCCATCTATTCCGTTCTGTTTATCGCCTTGGCTTGCAGACAATATCTGTCAATCCATATCACTTAACTCACAGCAAGCATCCACTCACCTGATTAAAATCCTCATAGATGGTCATTGTGTAGACCACACTGGCGTTGGTCAGCACCATCTCGTTGACCACTTTCTTCAAGTCGTAGTCCACATGCAGGACCGACTGGATGTCTGCCACAGAGGCATAGTTGCCGATACGGTCGTAAACCCCGAGTTTCTAGATAGATAGGATAAACACTCTGTAACGTACACGGTAGGGCAGTGTTTCTTTCAGTGTTTTTTTCGGGGGGGGGGGGGAGGAGACCACTTGAAACATTTGGGGTACGTTGGGATATTGGTTTAAAGTATTTATCTTCTTTATAATTGTATTCTATTTCTTTGGGGGGGGGGGGGGGAGAAGGGAGGGGTAGGGGGCAACCCCCAACCTGAAGAGATTCCTGAAGGAAACAGACAGGGGACAGTGGGGGTGAGGGCAACTCTGGCAGTGGTGGGATGAGGGGGGGGGGGTGACTTTACAAGAAAAAAAAAAGCCAATTTAACTGAGGATATGTAGGTAATTTTTCCCAGTTAGTTTAATAACTCAAAGTTTGAAACGGGTTACCCACATTAACGATAAGACTGACTTCCCCTTGGTAACGTATCTTAAAAACCCCTCACCTGACTAATCTGCCCCTCCCATTTGTTAAACCAACAGCACGGTGTCTGGGCCTCTACCAGACCGCAGACGACAAGCAAGCAGACGACAGTTGCTGGTCCAGCGAATGACATCATGCGTGTCTCTACAAAGTAAAAAAAAATATATTACACAAACATCGTCTTTAGGCTAAATACAAATAGATTAACATATACATACACATGGTGTGTCTTTGATTGGTAAGGCTAAATACAAATAGATTAACATATACATACATCGTGTGTCTTTGATGGATAAGGCTAAATACAAATAGATTGTACATACACCGTATATCTTTGATGGATAAGGCTAAATACAAATAGATTAACATATACATACATCGTGTGTTTTTGATGGGTAAGGCTAAATACAAATAGATTAACATATACATACATCGTGTGTCTTTGATGGGTAAAGCTAAATACAAATAGATTAACATATACATACATCGTGTGCCTTTGATTGGTAAGGCTAAATACAAATAGATTAACATATACATACATCGTGTGTCTTTGATGGGTAAAGCTAAATACAAATAGATTAACATATACATACATTGTATGTCTTTGATGGATAAGGCTAAATACAAATAGATTGTACATACACCGTATATCTTTGATGGATAAGGCTAAATACAAATAGATTAACATATACATAATCGTGTGTCTTTGATGGATAAGGCTAAATACAAATAGATAACATATACATACATCGTTTGTCTTTGATGAGTAAGGCTAAATACAATTCGATAACTTTCTTAATTTCTGCATAAGATGAACAACACTAAATAAAACTATAACTTTCTCTATGTCTGCATTAGATGAACAAAAATAATCTGAAATTAAACACAATCTCGATAATTAAGTTTAATTAAATTATAAAATAATGCACCAAAGGTTCAATACGCTAGATATAATTTTAAAAGTGCTTACGCTTATTCAAATCCTTTTGAGAAAAAAAAGGCAAGGTACCAAACACAATTGATAACTTGAAAACGGCCAGCTTTACATTCAATGCGATTAAACAGTTACAGTAAACCTTTTCTTTTTTAACCTCGTGTTTATGATGACATGTCAGTATAGTGGCAGACGACATGACCATCTGTCAGTGAAGGTGCAATTCTATGTCAGTATAGTGGCAGGCCCCCTAATGGTGTCACCCAGTGCGGTCGCGACGCCCCTGCAGTAGGTAATTAATTGCTAATGAGTATTAAAAATGTTAAACAAACATAGTAGTTGATTTGAACTCACTAAAAATCAATAACAGATTAATTATTGTAGTCTCCTTAAGAAATAGTATAACTGATTATGAAGCCTAGTCTAGAGGTATTAGATGATAGAGCAGAATCTCCTGCAAAAAAATCTGCGCCCCCCCCCCTCCCCCTCCTAGAGTCCGTCAATAGGGCCAGTGGGCTCGTCCTCAGGTTTGTAACGTTAACCTATCTATCAGCCAAATAGAAGGAGAACGTCCCCGGATTCTTTTTTCGGGGTTATATGCAAATGCCTTACGGCCTAAGTGGATGAACACTTAACACAACGACCCACTAGGGCTCGAATTTAATGTCTAGGGAAGCTAGTGATACTATTGTAATTAACACTCATCCAATCTACATACGACCTTTTAATCAGCGAACACAGTTGTGGCAGAACACAAAGATGAACTAGATAAAATATTTAATGTATAAAATATCAAAAACCCAACTTACAAAATGCAGGAAAAAAACACTATCACAGATTTCTACACTGTCTAAAGAACAGCTACAGGCCACACAACACTGCTGTAGCTTCAAGACTTACTTAGCGACAAGTAATATTAAACTAGAAGACTAAATCAACTGAAGAAAGCAAGGCACACACAGGTCTTAAGTACTCTCACGTTCAAATGGTCAGAGTCTATAGCCGGACAATATGGACGGCTGCCTGATCAAGGTAAAACTGCCTCGTAGACTGCCAGGTCAAGATAAACTGCCTCGTGTTGCGAGTGTGCAGTGCAATTAAAGACTTCTGTGACAGGGGAGGCTATCCTCAACTCATGTCGCCATTGGTTGGGATAATCATCTGATCAGAATCATTCAATCAGATTTTAATGGAAAATTTCTATGTCTCAAACACCTTAATAAGTCAGTGGAAAAACCCCAGGTGTTACACCATCATTCCATATAAGGAATTATACAATGTCAAAATAAAAATGACTCGACCTAAGTAGGTCACATCCCCTCCCTTTTTGGAAGTGACAGATAGGTTCCACAAAAACATTCATAGGGAACCAATCTGGCAATGAAATAACAAAAATGTTTTACAAATGTAGGCAATCAAAATCATAATACCAGATGAAAATATCCCTGAACATAAAAGGGAAGTAACTCCAACTTTTACAATTGGTGAAAGGGGAGTAACCCTTCAAAAGGTAATTATACATCAAAATCCCTCAAAAAAAAGGGTACTACAATATTTCCATGTGGATATTAAAAGTGGTAAACCCGCCAGGGTAAGACCTTTATTTCAATGACTAGCTACAATATCAATTGAGCCATATGAGACATATTATTATAAAAGATTACATATTATCAAAAACCACCTTTAATTAAGGTTCACCTGAAAATAAACAAAATATTCAACAGGATTGGAATTTTGAAAAATTCTAACTCACACCACTCATTTTCATATGAGTGACACTCAAACAAAACCTGTTTATGGTCCTAATGAACCACAAAGCATGTCACATGATCAATGTGTACAACAAGATTTTACATCCTTGACAAACAATCAGCCACAACATTATCACTACCCTTAATGTGTGAAATTTCCAGATTAAAATTTTGGAAATATAAGCACCATCTCAATATTCTTTGATTTGTCTGTCCTAACTTAGAGGTAAATTTCAGGGGATCATGGTCAGAAAACACTCTGACTGGATTGGTTGAAGAAGAGACATAGACTTCAAAATGTTGTAATGATAAAACCAAAGCTAAAGCTTCTTTTTCAATAGTAGAATAATTCTTTTGGTTTTCATTTAACTTCCTGGAAAAAAAGGCAATGGGATGGTCAACTCCCATGTTGTCTTCTTGAAATAGGACTGAGCCAATGGCTAAGTTGCTAGCATCAATGGCAAGTTTAAAGGGCTTGCTAAAATTTGGTGCAGCCATGACAGGAGCATTTGATAAAATTGACTTAATGGTTAAAAAAGCTTCTTGACATTTATTGGACCATTCAAATTCAACACCCTTTTTCAATAATGCAGTAAGAGGTTCAGCAACAGCTGAAAAGTTTTGACAGAACCGTCTATAGTAACCAGCCATCCCAAGGAACTTTTTGATCTCTTTACAATGTTTGGGAGGTGGCAACTTTACAATAGCATCTACTTTAGCTTCAATGGGCCGAACTTGGTTCGTTCCCACTTGATAACCCAAATAGGTAATTGAAGCTTTACAGAAATCACTTTTATGTAAGTTTACAGTAAAATTAACTTCAGACAATTTTCTAAAAAGGTTAGTCAACTGAACAATATGTTCTTCAAAAGTATTAGAAAATACAACTATATCATCTATGTAGGCCTCACATTGGTCTATGTCAGCAATGACAGAGTTAATGACCCTCTGGAAAGTTTGACCAGCATTTCGCATACCAAAGGGCATGCGTTTGTATCTATAAAAACCATTAGGGGTTACAAAAGCAGATATTTCTTTTGCACGGTCAGATAAGGGGATTTGCCAGTATCCTGAAAGTAAATCAATTTTGGAAATTATCTTAGCTTGACCAACTTTATCAATAACGTCCTCTATCCGAGGTAAGGGATAGGAATCAGCTTTGGTGAGCGCATTCACCTTCCTAAAGTCGGTTACAAACCTGAAAGATCCACCGTCTTTCGGTACTAGGAGACATGGGGAACTCCAGTTGCTGAAACTGGGCTCAATGATATCATTCTTGAGCATATAATCAATTTCATCTTTTATCAAAGCAGCTTTTTCCGGGTTAACTCTATAGGGGTGTTGTTTAATGGGTTTTGCGTCACCTACGTCTACATCATGAGGTGGAACCTTCGCTTCTTTGGGGACATCCCCAAAAATAGAGGGAAATGTCTCAAATAACTGAGACAATCTATGGCTTTCCTCTGTGGACAAATGCATAAGGTGGGCATTCAAATTATCTAAAAAGGAAGAATTTACCAATTTTGGGGGTTTCAATTTATCATGTATCACATCATCAGAAACATTTGAACATACAGGTAAAGTAATTTTAGCTGTGGATTGAAAATTGTTACAATTATCATAATACTTTTTCAGTGAGTTAACATGATACACGGTCTGTTTCTTTCTTCTGTCGGGCGTATTGACAACATAGTTCAAATCACTTAATTTTGAATGCACAGTAAAGGGTCCACAATATCTCAAGGATAACGCATTGTTCAGATTCGGCACTAACACAAGAACCTTGTCGCCTGGATTGAATGTTCGTTTACAAGAACTCTTATCATACAGTTCTTTCATTCTAACTTGGGCCTTTCTTAAGTTCTTGTGAGCCATTTCGCACACGGCTTTCAGTCGAACGTGAAAATCGTCGAAGTTTTCCACTGGATGATCACTGGTACCTGTCCAACGTTCGTGTATCAGCTTCAGGGGGCCACGGACAGAATGTCCAAACACAAGTTGAAAAGGCGAGTAGCCTAAAGAGTCCTGGACACAGTCCCTCGCGGCGAAAATAATCCAAGGAACAGACTCATCCCATTGGGTGTTACTATTAGCGAATGTCCTTAGCATGGTTTTGAGGGTTTGGTGGAACCTCTCAAGTATGCCTTGAGACTGAGGGTGGTAGGCTGAGCTGGTGATGTGGGTAACGCCTAGCTTGGCTAGCGCTTCCTGAAAATGGTGACTGGTGAAGTTGCTGCCTTGATCTGTTTGCACGATTCTAGGTAATCCAAAGGTAGTGAAGAACCGGGTCATGGCTCTGACTACAGTCTTCGCCTTAATGTTCCGTAAGGGAATCGCCTCGGGAAAACGGGTACTTGAACACATAAAGGTAAGTAGGTACTCGTTGCCCGCCTTGGTTTTAGGCAAGGGACCTACACAGTCCATGACGATTTTAGAAAAGGGTTCTTCTAATACAGGAATCGGACTTAAAGGGGCCTTAGGAATTGTCTGGTTTGGCTTTCCGGCCAACTGACAGTTCGTGCAACTTCTACAGTAACGCGACACATCTTTTCTCATTTTGGGCCAAAAGAACAGTTCTTTGATCTTCGCCGTCGTTTTAGTGACACCTGGGTGCGCTGACATTGGATGGTCATGTGCCAGCTTAAGTATTTCATGCCGATAAGGTGGAGGGATCCACAGCTGGTTTTTACCCAACCATGGTTCGGCTGGTGAGGCAATCACTGGTATAGCGCGACGAAAGAAGAGGCCGTTCTCGGAGAAGTATTCTCCATCGTCAGATGATAGAGATTTTTCGACCGTTGCTTTGAGTTCCGCGTCGACTTGTTGAGCTTTAATGATGTCTTCCTGAGATATCCTCAGGGGTAAGCCCAGACTTGTGTTCTCTGGAAGCATAGACTCCAGTTTGGGAGTCGAATTTCTTGACGATGATGGCGGGTGTGGTTCAGACGTTGTGTCAGCCAATTGTTTGGTCTGGCTTCTTGTCACCGCACATGCAGGATACAGTTCATTATCATTATCTGGAACTGTTGACAAAGGGTCTGAAACCGTACAGGGGTATACTTTGCTTCCCGCAAGGTCATTCCCTAGAAGTAGGTGTACTCCTGGGACAGGAATACTATCTATCACACCTAAAATGACCTCACCTTCGACGAGATGATGTTTCAGGGCAAACTTGTGTAGAGGGACGACAGTAGATTTTGTCCCCACTCCCTGGATAATGGAAATCCTTCCGGTGTTCGTCTCTGGTGAAATGTCCATTGAACTTTTCAAAAGGAGTGATTGTGACGCTCCTGTGTCTCTTAGGACGGTGATATTCTTCTGAGACAACGGATCACCTGGATTGCTAATGATGGCTTCGGCAATAAAAGATGAAAAGTCAACTTTTCTCGATCTCTCGAGATCGGTAGACTCGGAAGAAACTGGATGGTGGCGAGAACAGTCAAAATGTGACTGCACATAATGTGTGGAGACTTGACTACCTTCTTGCGGACACTTAGGGTTAGAGTCCTTTAGAATTCTAGAGTTCATAGTTGAACTGGCTGCTTGAGGGGATAGAGCATAGTGCGCGGAAGTACGCACCACCTCTCTGTTATTCTGAAGACGTTTGTAACAGTCCTTGACAAAATGACCAGGCCTTTTGCAGAACTGGCATACTGCTCGACGATTGAGAGTTGATCTTGGTTTCTCTCTGGACTGTGATGCCTTCAAATGTTGGCCAACAGGATGATTGCTGCCAAAAAGGGGAAGCACGGGGTTGAGGCGGTTTCCTGACACTGGTGGTTTCTTATGCACCAACATATATGTGTCAGCCGACTCAGCAGCCTTCTGGATGTCAGTTATCTTGTTATCCAGAATGTGTAGTCGTATCTCTTCAGGCAGGGACGATAGGAATTCTTCCCTTAGGATAAGTGACCTGAGTTTCTCAAACTCAGAAACTTCCTCCGAGTGTAGCCACCTTGAAAATATTTTCTCCTTTTCAAAGAGAAATTCCACATATGATTGTGTGGGTAACTTGCGGAGTGTTCGGAATTTTGTCCGATAGGCCTCGGTCGTCAGTGCGTAGGCCTTTAAAATGGCAGTCTTGACCAAACTATAGTTATTTTGAACGTCGTGAGAGAGTGCCTGGTATGTTTTTGCAGCCTTCCCAGTAAGGACAGAGCTCAATAAAGCAGTAATGGAAGTTTCGGGCCATTCACATGTCTTCGCTAAACTCTCAAACGAGTTAAAGAAAACGACCAAATCTGTTTCATCAAATTTAGGAACTAATTTCCCAAATTTGGCAATCACTTGCCCTACCGACAACTTTTTTGGATCTACCAGAGAAGTAACATCACTAACTTGACCAAACTCTAATTCCAACCTCCTCTTATCTAAAGCAATTTTAGCCTCTAACTCCTGTCTCTCTAAAGCAACTTTCTCCTTCTCTAGAGTAACTTTCTCCTTCTCTAAAGCAATTCTAGCTTCTAATTCTACCTTCTCTAGAGTTTTCTCCTCGCGGAGCAACACACCAGCCAACAAACTTTCATCAAATACTCCTTCATTAATGAAATGAACAACAATTTTATCTCTCAACACCTCTGACTTCTGCGTAACAGAATAATCCAATTTCAATTCCTTAACAACACTAACCAAAACTTTTCTACTCAACTTCTCGACCTCTTCAAAAGTAGGATTAGCCAAAAAAGACTCCATAACACTAACTTGAAAATCACAACAAGCCTAGATCCTTTAAATTAATACACAGCGTTGGGCCGTGTACTTGACCTCTAAATGTAGGACGTGACACGTCTGCTTATTTGACCTAGATACTCTAGCCTGAGCGCGCGTTGTAAGAACACTGCGCTACTGGATATAAAAACAACTAAATCCAACTAACCTTAGTATTCAACTGATATAACCAACAACTGGAACGACAGATTAAATCTCGGCGAGCTCCCACTTTGTAACGAACCTATCTATCAGCCAAATAGAAGGAGAACGTCCCCGGATTCTTTTTTCGGGGTTATATGCAAATGCCTTACGGCCTAAGTGGATGAACACTTAACACAACGACCCACTAGGGCTCGAATTTAATGTCTAGGGAAGCTAGTGATACTATTGTAATTAACACTCATCCAATCTACATACGACCTTTTAATCAGCGAACACAGTTGTGGCAGAACACAAAGATGAACTAGATAAAATATTTAATGTATAAAATATCAAAAACCCAACTTACAAAATGCAGGAAAAAAACACTATCACAGATTTCTACACTGTCTAAAGAACAGCTACAGGCCACACAACACTGCTGTAGCTTCAAGACTTACTTAGCGACAAGTAATATTAAACTAGAAGACTAAATCAACTGAAGAAAGCAAGGCACACACAGGTCTTAAGTACTCTCACGTTCAAATGGTCAGAGTCTATAGCCGGACAATATGGACGGCTGCCTGATCAAGGTAAAACTGCCTCGTAGACTGCCAGGTCAAGATAAACTGCCTCGTGTTGCGAGTGTGCAGTGCAATTAAAGACTTCTGTGACAGGGGAGGCTATCCTCAACTCATGTCGCCATTGGTTGGGATAATCATCTGATCAGAATCATTCAATCAGATTTTAATGGAAAATTTCTATGTCTCAAACACCTTAATAAGTCAGTGGAAAAACCCCAGGTGTTACACCATCATTCCATATAAGGAATTATACAATGTCAAAATAAAAATGACTCGACCTAAGTAGGTCACAGGTTCCATAAGTAAACACACACACACACACACACACACCGTACTGTTACACTGGATAGGTATTGCTTATGTTATATTCACGCGCACACACGTGTATACACACACACACACACACAATATATATATATATATATATATATATATATATATATATATATATACATATATATATATATATATATATATATATATATATATATATATATATATATATATATATATATATATATATATACATACTGTATTGGTATCCGAATGGATATATTTTCTGGCCTTACAGTAGCTGTGTTATCTCGACACACATGCTGATAAAGATACGTGTTATCGCCATTAAGACAGTTGTAATTTAATCTACAGCAATAAGACAGTTGCTGCTACACTTCCAATTAGGTTTACACACTTGGGTATTCGATACGTTCACTATTGTTTTTAGGTAGTTCACCTGCTCATTAAAAAAAAACATACGTTAACGCACATTGGATTAAAATAATAACAAAGAAAAAGACATCTTTTTTAATAGGACGGCAAAATTCAATTGACAATGCAAGAATATATAAATCTAATTCCATATTGAATTTGTCTTAAAAAAATCTATTTTGAAAAAACTCAATTCGTTAACAAAACAGTATAAAGTACCATCACTCGATCGGGATGTTGTACTGATGTTCTCTTTTGATGTTAACAAACGCAACATCAATGTTTCTTTCAGACATGGACTTGATTACCCGAAAAAATGCCTAAAAGAAACTCTGCTTAAGAGGGTATTTAGAGTTATTATATTATGAGCGGTGTCCAAACTTATTTTATTTTGTAGATTTAATTAAGGGCTATCCGAATTAAATAAACCGGGAGTGATCTCCCCTAAACTTTCTCGAATATTCTTATATAAAACAACAGGGGATGGGAACTCGGGCTATAGACATGATTTTTAATCCATTTTAAATGCTTAAAGTTTTAAAAATAGAATAAAATCTCGTAGACAAAAGAAGTGCACACCAAGTGAACGCCAAATAAAAAAGTGCATAATAGTGCGCAATATTATTAGTACTTTAAAAATTAACATTAGTTTTTTGAGAAATCGGAAGTAGCGTAAATTACTACTTCCGGTCAACGGAAATTTCTCAAAATTTAACAGAAGGTAGAAAATTAGATCTTTTACTCACATGTGAAATTCTATTTATCTATCTGAAATAGTACTCAAGTTATAGGCTTTTGAAAAATTCAAAGTAGAAAAAGTACCACTTCCGGTTATTGGAAATCGCTCAAAAGTTGATACGGATCTACGATTTTGATAAAATACTTATATATGAAATTTCATCAACCTAGCTGTAACGGTACTCAAGTAAACGTGTTTACACACACACAGACAGACACACAGACATACGGACAGAATTGCAAAGCCCAGTTTTTCAGAATGGATTACGCATAAACCCTTAATTTTGATAAATCTGGATTGATAATTTTTGCCCGATTAAAATAAGTCCTCTATACTTCGGATGTGATGAAGGACTGAGGTGTAATACGGTGAAAATTGTTAAAATTTCAAGAGATTTTTTTGCACGATTACAATACTTTCTCTATACTTCGTATATACGAGAAAGTAAAAAGTAAATATGGTAATCGTTTTATTAAAAAAATCCTTTTTAGAAACAAAAATTAAAATGCACTAGAAATAAAATGGATTTTTTTTTCTTTAGATATAATATTAAATTCTTTGATTTAGGTGCCCACACTATGGGGATAAATATTCTGCACTGACTTTTTCAAATTGTAAATTTTTAAAAAATTACGATTGTACTCCACAACCACACGAATTGATGACGTCTTAAACAGCACATGCGCAGAGGCCTTCATGGAACCGGAAACTATACAAGCCATTGCAGCAATTTCAATTGGCCTACAATTTCCGGGTTGCAGTGGTCGGATGTTGATGCTGTAGGAAGATGGGCGACGACAAGGACGAGAAAACGGAGTGGGAGAGACACATCCAGCCCTGGCTGAACGAGGACGGCTTTTTGTACGAGCTCAAGGGCGTGGCCAAAGCGCCGTGTAAAGATTTTTTTATTCTTCAGATCAGCCCTTCGCAGGTAGGTCGTTTCTATCGTCTCGCCGATTAGCCGTACCCTGTGCATTAATATGGCGAATGTTTCGGCGCGAAATTTAAGGGTATATGAATATGTGGGTACGGGTAATCGGTAAGTCGGCTTTTGTCTTATGGTCTCAGCCGTTTGGTCTCAGTAACTAGATCTCAGCCACTAGACACAAGTAGATAGGTCCCAGATATTAGGTCCAGTCAATTGGTCTCAGTCAATTGGTCTCAGTCAATTGGTCTCAGTCAATAGGTCCCAGTGAATAGGTCGATTTTACTAGGCCCCAGTCAATAGATCCCACTCAACTGTTACCAGTTACTAGGTTCCAGTCCATATATCCCAGTTAAAAAGGTCCCTGTCAATAGGTCCCAGTTACTAGGCCGAGTTAGTAGGACCCAGACAATAAGTCCGTCAATAGGTCCCAGGTATTAGGTCCCAGGTATTAGGTCCCAGGTATTAGGTCCCAGGTATTAGGTCCCAGGTATTTGGTCCCAGGTATTAGGTCCCAGGTATTAGGTCCCAGGTATTAGGTCCCAGTTATTAGGTCCCATGTATTAGGTCCCAGGTATTAGGTCTCAGGTATTAGGTGCTAGGTATTAGGTCCCAGGTATTAGGTCCCAGGTATTAGGTCCCAGGTATTAGGTCCCAGTTATTAGGTCCCATGTATTAGGTCCCAGGTATTAGGTCCCAGTTATTAGGTCCCATGTATTAGGTCCCAGGTATTAGGTCCCAGGTATTAGGTCCCAGGTATTAGGTCCCAGTTATTAGGTCCCATGTATTAGGTCCCAGGTATTAGGTTCCAGAGACGCCCTATCCAGTAGGTCTCATTCTGTGACTAGATTCTCTGGTCCCAGTCGCTGACTGCTTACATTGTTATTTATAACCTGATCACGTGACTGGTCTGCAGGTCATATTCCGTGTGTGGGCGATTACGTCACCGTTCGGGAACTCCTCCTTGAGTAAGCTGACACCGGAGAAATACACCTGTTCCTACGAGGACTTTTCTACCAGCTATGAAATACGAGGTGGGTCATGAGAAGCTGTCGCGTCACAATGTGGGGGAGCAGTGTTTCTTTCAGGCATATCTATGAAACAAATTTACCCTTCCCCATCCCTGAACAAAAAAGAAAAATATGTATTTTCACAAGTGTCTACCTCCGGAAATTTAAGTCTGAATTCTGGACTCATGTTAACAGTCGTAAGCTTTACCAACCGACCACACCTTTTCTTGTGTATATATATGTATATATATATATATATATATATATATATATATATATATATATATATATATATATAAACAAGCATGCGAAATTGACATTACATTGTAGTTTTGCCAACCGTTTCTCCATTGAAGTTACATAGCCGTGCTCCACTTGTACAGGTGGGATAGAGCACAGGACCACAGGTGAGCTGGACTACCTGGACCTGCTCCTGGCTGGTCAGATCGACTACCTGAGCCGTCTGGACAGTGAGCTCCAGCTGAACATCATCCGGTACCTGGACGTCATGTCGGTCACCAGGCTGGCACAGACCAACAAGTGCTTCAGAAATGTATGTGGATGTCCTGGTCTATGTCCAGAAATGTATGTGGATGTCCTGGTCTATGTCCAGAAATGTATGTGGATGTCGTAGTCTGTGTCCGTATTCAGAGATTATGTGGATGTCCTGGTCTATGTCCGTATTCAGAAATGTATAAGTTTGTTGTCGACTGTGTCCGTATTCAGAAATGTATGTGGATGTCCTGGTCTATGTCCGTATTCAGAGATGTATGTGGGTGTTGTGGTCTGTGTCCCTATTCAGAAATGTATAAGTTTGTTGTCGACTGTGTCCGTATTCAGAAATGTATGTGGATGTCCATCTGTGTCCGTATTCAGAAATGTATGTGGATGTCGTGGTCTGTGTCTCTATTCAGAAATGTATAAGTTTGTTGTCGACTGTGTCCGTATTCAGAAATGTATGTGGATGTCCATCTGTGTCCGTATTCAGAAATGTATGTGGATGTCGTGGTCTGTGTCTGTATTCAGAAATGTATGTGGATGTCGTGGTCTGTGTCCATCTTCAAAGTCCATGTCTTATGTCTAAGTCGATGTCGATGTATTTCTCAATTTCTATGTCCATGTCAATGTATTTCTCAATTTCTATGTCCATGTCTATATCCATACTTAATAACTGATGTTTATTTATGACTATGTGTTTTTCCATCTCAATTTATGCACATACATAAACACATTGCGTGGACTATATACTGAAACTTCTGTCAATTTTAAAACGGTAGTTCTCTCCTACTCCTCCCCCCACCCCATCCATTAACTGTAGTGACTATGTGGACGATGTACTGAGCCTTCTCTTATATTTAAAAAACGGTTAAGATGGTAGCAGAGTTTCTCCCAGGCATCTCTTCAGGGGTCTCTGCCCCCCATCCCCTCCCGAAAGAGCCTACCCCTCCCCACCCCCACCCCGAACGAGATGGAATTTATATACAAAACATATACTTTTGCCAGTGCCCGCCTCTCCGCTCCCCTCCCCCCTTCCTAACCTGTAGTAACGCCACCAGAACACCTTGTTGCAGCTCTGCTCTGATGACGAGATCTGGAAGAATATCTACAAGAAAAGCAACCTGAAGAAGTACGTCACGCCCACCTTCCAGTCCATAGCACACAGCCAGGGATGGAAGGTCTTTTATGCCGTCATCTCCAGGATTGTTGTAAGTGACTTTTTCATGTCACTCTTGTGACACGTCATGTTTCTTGTCACAGTTGTAAGTGACACGTCATGTTTCATGTCACAGTTGTAAGTGACACTTCATGTTTAATATCAATTATATAAGTGACGCGTCATGTTTTGTGTCACTGTTGTAAGTGACACGTCATGTTTTATGTCACTGTTGTAAGTGACACGTCATGTTTTATGTCACTGTTGTAAGTGACACGTCATGTTTTATGTCACTGTTGTAAGTGACACGTCATGTTTTATGTCACTGTTGTAAGGGACAGGTCATGTTTTATGTCACTGTTGTAAGTGACACGTCATGTTTTATGTCACTGTTGTAAGTGACACGTCATGTTTTGTGTCACTGTTGTAAGTGACACGTCATGTTTTATGTCACTGTTGTAAGTGACACGTCATGTTTTGTGTCACTGTTGTAAGTGACACGTCATGTTTCACGTCACTGTTGTAAGTGACACGTCATGCTTTGTGTCACTGTTGTAAGTGACACGTCACGTGCAACCACTACTCTGGTATCTTTTGTTTGTTTTCAGAAAGCGGACAACATGAGTGGCCGAAAATCATTTACGGCAGAAAGTACTCGTACTTCGCGGGCGATGTAGGACAGTTTATCGAGACGTGTCTCCTTGTTAACTCCCAGTGTGTTCATTATCCAGGCGTGTCCTAGTTAACTTCACAGTGTGTTCATTATTAGGACGCGTCTCCTTGTTACTACACACTGTGATCATTCTGTGTTCATCTGCTTTGAGATTGTAATAAATATAAATTTATTTCCAAACCTACATGTTTTTTTTACCAGATTTGGTAGCTTAACATGTGCTTTTGGGCTAGGGAAGAAGAGTTTATTGGAAAAGCGAATATTTGCCTTTTAATTGTTAATCTTCTTCGTGCCCTAGACACATGGGGCAGATGAAGTAGAGTTCATCTGATTCAGATGGCGACGGCATATGACGGTATAGTGTGGTCAGCCGCTTTTGCTTCACTGACTTAAGTGGACTCAGATACGTGCAACTGATTTGAACTAGGATTCGAACTCAAAACTCTCGGGTTAGCAGTCTAGCTCCCTACCACCGTCCCAGTTGACATTGGGTGTGAATTGTTTCTTTTATTGTCTGCATCATCAAAAGTGAATCTTTAGAAAACAGCCTACCTTACATCTTCACAAAGTGAATTATTACATTTACAGTACATTAAAAAGAACAACCAAAGTTAAAAAAAAAAACTACTGTAAATCAATATTTGTGCGACAAACCTCAATCCTTAGTTTCATTTGAAAACGTTAAGTATCCTCAGGTTCTTTTAATACCGCCAATTTCCACATACATGCACTGCAATAACCTGTCGACAAAGTTAACGGTGGCTGAATTCTACAATATCATTGATAGCTCGAAGAATATTAAAGCACTATCATTATACAGTGGAAACTTTTGCCATGGGTTTTATTCAATTTTTAATGGATTATTTACCTTTAACGGTCGTCAAATGTTTCGGATTAAATAAAACAAATATAAAAACCTTTATAAAAGAAAGTTAGAACGAAATCGCTGCATCAGAAGTGGGTCAAAAATTGAGTCACAAGATTAGCAATAAATCCAACAACAACAACAAAAAGAAAAACAGAAGCGAACTAACTAAAAACTTGTAAAAAACAGGAAACTACATTAACCCTTACAGACCAGTAAACAAAATGTATAATATATGTGTAAAGAAAATGTATGACATGTGTGTAAAGAAAATGTATGACATATGTGTAAAGAAAATGAATGAAAAATGTGTAAATGACAAATGTGTAAACAAAATGTATGACATATAAGTAAAAAAAAAAATGACATATAATAACCAAATGTAAAAATAATGTAAACAAAATGTATGACATGAGCTTATATCAGTATTATGTTTAGCCCTCCTGTCCTACTCAAACTTTACCCGAGACAAGTTCCCTAAGGAACAAGAAGGGAACCACTGCACACACTTTCTATATTAACAATCTATCTTTGATCAATTAATGCTGAGACATCTTGTTATCATTTCACTTAAAAAAAACATGTATAGTTTTATTCTTTAAATAAAAAAAAAATGGCAACCTCTAAGTAGTCTGTTCAATCTATTGTCCGGCGTATTGATTTCCCCACAGAGCTGTATGAGAATCATTGTGGGACTATTTGTTTCACAAACTAGGTTGAAGTGCTGCCCCATTCAGTAGCCAGTAGTTCAAAAATGTGTTATGATTAGCAGCCAGCAGTAAGAAAACCGCTCAGCGTGAAGCGCCAGCGGTTTAAAAAATGGTAGCTTAAGGGTAGATTAAACGGAATTATAAGTGATTTAATTGATTTAATACTTGGAAGAAAAGATCAAGGATTAGATGAGGAATTAATATTTGAATGCTTAAAGTTACATAAAAACAAACAGAAAAGAAAGTAATATTATTATTTGCAGTACGTATAGATGTAACTGGCATTTTTCAAGGACAGTCTGTTTGATATTATATCGCCTGGCCGATGGTTGATGCCATTGAGCATCTCTACATGTGATGAATATTGGCTAATTTAACTTTAAAGAATCTGATTTGCATCCACAGTAAAATATGTAAATATTGAAAAATGTTTCATCGATTTAAACATACTTTTCTATCTTAGAAGTAAAGAAAATTTTTATTTAAAAAAAAAATTATTATCAATATTTTAAGATCTGAACTACCTCACTCCCTTCGCTTCAAATTGCTCAAGGGCATCTTGTTTAAATTCCTTGTGCTTAAAAAACCAAGGTCACACATTTTTGCATTATGGGATGTCACGTTTCCGGTCGCCATAACAAGGCATGGTCAGTAAAAAATTAACCAAATGAATTAATTATTCACAACCCCCATTATTTGAATATTTTTTTCTTAACTAGAAATACATGCTTTGTGATGTTAATAAAAGGAATGCCAACTCAGCGTATGGGTTTGCTTTTATTTCAATTATGTAAATACTTGATTTATAATATTTTTTTTGCGGTTTTCGCATTTTAACATGTAATCACTCTTACAACCAGATAACTCTGTGTTGGCCAACACTTCTAGGTCTGTTTAGCAAGTCACTTCTCTACATTGTAATCATTTCCAGATTTCGGCACATTTTTTTTTATCGTATTGATTCCGCCCTGTTACACGGATTTCTGCTATCTTTTTTTAAACAGCGTTAAATATTAATGCAGTATCGATTACAATTTTTCACCACGAACGTTTTTTTCTCCAGCAGAAGTGACTGTTTCCCGCCACAGACAGTACCGGTCGTCTGCGGGGACGGATGGGGCTTTGTAGTTAACGTCATCAATGCGAATGTTTTTATGACAACCCCGTTGTGCTGAGAGATTAAACCGATATCCCCAAGTTCTTAATCCTAACACGTTCTTAATCCTGACCAGTTCTTTCATTAGATATTTAAAAGTACTAGCTCTAGATGTTCTTTAAACATCATCTTTCATAGAGTTTAGTTTTGCTTGAGAGAGCTTAGACCGAAACGTTCAGTTAAAAAAGTTGGATATTAGGAATAAAGTTGTAAGAGAAATTGACTAATTTAAAAAAACAAGAACATTTCATTGGCAATTACTACGCTTCAAAAAATGGGTTTCATGAAGGTTATCATCTGTCATCTTTTGATACAAGTCCCCACAGGCGTTTCAACAGGTAAGATTTTTTAAACAATAAACGTATTTTTATGGTAGCATTTAATTTAATAGATACAATAACTAAGTAAAACCGTTATCTTATTGGGGTAGAAAAGGGAAGGCGTGGTGGAATGGTAGAGCGTTCTGCCTCTAACACGAAAAGCTCGAGTTCAGGGCACTGAGTACGTCTGTGAGACCACTGAATGGGACCTGACTAATGTTAAGGACAGTAAAGGCGGCTGGGCATAGTGCTGACCACACTATCCTACACATATGCCGAGATAAATTCAACAGATGCTTCACTTACCCCGTCGTACGTAAGGTTCGAAAAGGTACTTTACTTTTACCTTTACCAAGGAAGTAACTTCAAAGAGAGAAGAAAACACAAAATGGAAAATCAGAGGCGTAGCGGGGGGGGGGGGTTACATATGTTCGTGGGTTATAAAAACAAATTAATATCTCATTTTAGCTGCAGCTTTGCATTATAAATATAAAAAAAAATATATGGGGGGGGGGGGGGATGGAGATGCTAATTGAAAGTATGAGGGGGGGGGGCATTCAAAATGGAAAATTTGAGGGGGGTGCATATTGAAAATTGAATGGTTGTTCCCGAGGGGGGGGGGGGGGCAAATCGAAAGTTTGTCCCCGGGCGCCGGGAAGGGTCGCTACGCCTCTGTGGGACCTGTTATAAATTGTCTAAAGGAAACTTAGTGTTCACTTTGTCTATTTCAAATGTACCTTAAATCTAATTCCAACTTACGTTTACATCAACATTGCAAAAAATGTTAGGCCTAGAAATTATTTTGTAACGGTTGACAGACATTTTTTTATTAATTTAAAATACCTAACGTTCACTACGTTCCAAAAATACAATTACCTTTCCTTACATACATCATCTGTAGACCTTTTATTTGAATAGCTTGTGTAGTGTTGGCTAAAGAATGAAACACTCTGCAACGGTGGAGATGAGAGTCTCGGTTGATTTTAGTTCCCAAACAGCAGTTACTATATAGAGTCTAGGAGTAGTATATTAGGTCCCTTTTGGGTCGTATTTGGGCGGCGCAAAGGTTATATAGCAAAATACTCGTGGCCGCAGGAACAATGAGATATAGCAAAATACTCCCTAGGGTGGCACAAAGACATATAGTAAAATACTCCATGACCTAGTTACGTAATTTTAATGGGTTTTTAATTAGGTTTAATGGGTTTTTTAAATTTTAATTAATTTTTGACCTAGATACGTAATTTTAATGTTTTTTTTTTTTTTTTTTTTTTTTTTTTTTTTTTTTTTTTAATTAATTTGATTTTAATTACTTTGTTTGTGTTTTGTTTGTTTATTTTTAATAACTTTAATTAATTTGATTTTTATTTATTTTGTTTTGTATTTGTTTGATTTTAATTTTTTTAATTATTTTTATTTTGTTTTTTAAATTTTAATTAATTTTAGTTTGATTTAATTGATTTGATTTTAATTTATTAAATTTTTAAATTTTAAATTTTAATTTTAAATTTAATTGATTTTAATTACTTTGTTTGTATTTTGTTTGTTTATTTTTAAGAGTTTTAATGAGTTTTTAAATTTTTAATTAATTTTTATTATCGAGTTACGTAATTTAATTACTTTGATTGTATTTTTATTTTGTTTAATTTGTTTGTTTACTTGTTGTTTAATTTAATTACTTTGTTTATATTGTGTAATTTTTATTAACGAGTTACGTAATTTGATTATTTGTTTACTTTTTAATTATTTTTATTTTGTTTATTTTTAATTTTATTTTATTTTATAATTAGTTAAATTATTATTAACTAGTTACGTAATTTGATTTTAATTACTTTTGTTTATTTATTTATTTGATATATTTCTTTTCTTTGATGTATGGTATTTAAAATAAAAGACACTGTTTATTTGATTGTATGTATGTTTAATAGTAAACGGATAGGGGTGTTGGTGGATGAGAGGGGGAGTAATGATGGGGTTTGAGGGTAGGGGTGCGTTAGCGTGTACTTTGTGAATAACATCCATTAACCAGACATGTAACACCTGTTACGTATTGATCGCAGCGACAGGTCCATCACAGCATGATGTCCCACCTAATTAAATTTTGTTATGCATCATTGATT